GGCTGGAAAATCTGCGGGTTGATCAAGTAAATTGAGTTGTGATCTTAAACAGAAAATTACTGTCAGAAAGAAACTTTTTTTTGCAAATTTTGTCTAGATCTAGAGAAATTATCAATTCAAAGATTCCACAGCACATGAACGCGATGGGCTGCGATGAAAGAAATATATGCTGATACGGGGTGTCCGCTACGGATGGGATCAGCTGATCGCCCGACTCGGTTGCCTCGAAAACTTACGTGTTTGTTTTCAGTTTCAGGCGGGCGATCGACCCGATCGAGCCTTAGAGGTAAAATCAAGAATAATTCGAAGTGGTGTTCCGAGGTTGTAACGGGCGACATTCAGACGTGAAAATTGAGGAAAAATTAGGGTATACGTTGGGCAACTGTATTGTGAAAGTAAATGTATACACCTATATTTGATTCCCAAATGTATGTTAATGGCACCATTCAAAATCTACCAAACATGATTTCTATCACTAAACAATGTTTTTATGAAATTAAAAAGTGGATGACAGTAAACAAATTGAAACTAAACGAAGAAAAGACAGACATCATTCTTATAAAAAATCCACGATTAAATAAAGATCTGGAAAGTGTCAACTTTGATTTATATAGGCATATGACATCTAGTAAAGAAGATGTCAGGAATCTCTGTGTATATATTGACCACCACTTATCAATGGGCTCGTTTGTAGGATCTCTGTCCAAATCCCTTTATTTTCAGCTGAGAAGGATAGGCCTAGTTCAAAAGTACTTAAACGAAGAGACCACAAAAACACTGGTAACATCTCTTATCCTGTCTAGATTAGACTATTGTAACTCACTCCTAGCAGGTCTGAACAACAAATATTTGAATCATTTACAAGTAATTCAGAACAATGCCGCTAGACTGATAACAAGATTTAAAAAACGAGACCATGTCACTCCATTATTAAAAGAACTGCATTGGCTTCCTGTAAAAGAAAGAATAATATTTAAAATCTGCGTCATGTGTTTCAAATGTGTAAATAAAACTGCTCCTTTTTATCTACAAGAACTTATCAGTATAATATAAACCAGGGAGAAACCTAAGATCATCAAATGATAACACCCTACTTGTGACATCGGTAAAATCATACAAATCATCTGGGAGAGAGTTCTTTCTCATATCTTGGTCCATTTATTTACCCATGAAACTAAGACAAATAAAAACGCTTGATAGCTTCAAAAGACATCTTAAACATTTTCTGTTCTTACAGGCCTATCTTTCATAAGCTTTTAACGTTATCTTTCATTATAGTTATTCTTTTCCTATGTCTAGATGAAAATAGTGTGTGTGTGTGTGTGTGTGTGTGTGTGTGTGTGTGTGTGCGCGCGCGTGCGCATTAATGTATATTGCATGAGAAGAAAGGAAGTAGTAAGAAAGGTTTTTGAACAATGGGTATTCCGATGTAAAACGCATTGAGCTTTTTTTGGAAATGCGCTATATAAATCATGTTATATATTATTATTATTATTATTATATTATTATTCATAATTATGATTATTCCCAGGTTTGCCTGCTATCAATCGTGCAACCGCAAAATAATTAAATTGTGTGGCAGCGTGGTGGAATCAGGCTCTCGTCAATTTCTCGGCATGTTGAGTTATTGGTATCATCTTAAAGCTTGTTCATTTGTCTTTATTTGGATGAACAAAATATCTATTTATAGAATACAAGTTGAGATATTTGCGAAAGAAGGAGGTGGGGTCACCTGTTTTCAGAGGTAAAATTAGTGAGAAAGATTAGTTATTTCCTTAGCTTAAGAGTCTGTGGTAACTGAAAATTTACATTTTTTGTGCCTTTAATCAACGTTTTTCAGAAAAATCCACACGCAAATTAGTTCTTTAATGGGCATGAAAGGTGTTGAGCCAAAAAACAAAAATTTGATAAAATTTCACAAACCTGCGGAAAAATGCAAGTTTCTTCACTTTGATTATTTTGACGAGATCCTGAATCCACCACGCTGCCTCACAATTATAGTAGCAATGAAAGGGGAACCTGCTTTTAAACATTGCCAGCAATGGAAAGATATATTGGTGAAGAAATCAAACAAGACAAAATGTTGGTGAAAAAATAAATGTTATGGGCTGTGTAGGCAATCTCTTCTAACAGGCTCCCAAATGCCATTTTTAACCCTCTAAAAGCATTAAATTTCAATTTCTTCTAGGGCTTCGCCCCCTGATCCCCCACCGGGACTCTGTTCTTGGACCCTGCTGGGGGCCTATGCACCCCAGGCAGAATGTTCCTTACTTTTCAGCTTCAGGTGGTGGAAGCACTGCTCTCTCTCTCTCTCTCTCTCTCTCTCTCTCTCTCTCTCTCTCTCTCTCTCTCTCTCTCTCTCTTTCTCTGTGTGTGGGTGTGAGTGTATACTGTATGTGTGTATGTATGTGTATATGTATATGTATGTGTGTAAGTCAGTCTGTGGGACAAGAATTCTTTCGCAAGGAGGTCCACTTGCTCGTTTCCTCGCATGCCCACATGGCTGGGTAGCCATGCAAATACAGTACTTTTCCCGGTTTCAGCCAAAACGTGTATTTTTTGTTGTAACCTAACTATTTTTGGGTGTAAGAGTGTGTAGTTTGTAAGTGAGAGAGAGAGAGGGAGAGAGAGAGAGAGAGTGTGTGTGTGATAGAGAGAATGTGTGTGTGTGTGTGGTGATTTTTCAGTTCATCTTTAGATTACTATCACTTATCAATCTGATGAATTATTTGCAGACGTAAGGCTCTAACGGAACGCTTACCCTATAATTGCTAGATGAAGTGATAATCGAAAAGAGCTAAAAGCTCCTCTTGGGTACAAAACCAGAATGTGCATCCTTCATCACTATAAAAAACTACCAAACAACAAGTTATAATTATTGGGATAAATTGTTGATCAGTCGGGACGAGGGGAAGAAGGGAGGAGAGAGGGAAAAATTTTTTAAAACCCTTGCGAGATCGGGATTCAATCCCACGCTCATAAAATATTTGTCTGACTTCAAACGCAGATATGCTGTCCATTTGGCCATCCATCACAACTTCCATCAGTGAAGGGTAGATTAAGCTAAATAAATATAATTATTTACAGCACTGTTTCAGAAGTTACCGAACTGCCAAAACTGGAACCATATGCCTTATAACACAATATTCACCTCTAGCCTCCAACAGCCAATCAGAGCCTGGCTGACGGGCTGCAGATAGCTGCAAGTCGGATTTGATACATCCCTGTTATAGCCAGATCCCTGTTTTTCCCAGATCTGTTATGGATTCTAATACTGACCTCTCTGTTGTTGCTGCATTTTGTAATATGCTGAAGGAGCTTGGAAACTGGTGGTGTAACTTACTTACTGTAAGGACGCAAGGAGCACACCGCTACAGGAGCTTGGAAATGGCCAGTGCAAACCGCTTGCTACGCAGAATCATCACTATTTTCGATTAGATGACGAGGCGGGCATCCCCCTTGCGAGGTCAAACAAGATGGCTTTTGCTATACATATCGGCCAATGGCGTTTAGTTGTCGTTCTCTAGCCAGCTATCCACTTGTCTTATTGACAGTGCGTTTAGTCAGTGGTGTTGTCATCAATTCATTTTGAGATATCTAGATACAAGAGATACTTACTGACGCGACGATCAATGGAGAGCATAGTGGGATAGAAAGTCCCGACATAGTATTTTCCTTACTTTTCTGCTTTATCTGTTGGAAGCACTGATCAAAACCTTGCAGGGCACCAAACGCATCTCGCAGCTGCTACGAAGTTCTCTGGTAAATTAAACCTCTATGACCATGTACGATATATTTTATTGACCTCCATTTTATGCAGTTTTCCATTGTTAACGTTAGATTGCCTTCTAAGAGATACATAGTTGAATCTACAGCACAAAGGACGCGCGAACAAGTCTGGACCTACCACCAGTAAAAATGTCAGGGACATACCTAATATTATAAGAAGTCATCATGTGGTCCGTCAGTTTTGACATTCGCGGGGGGTAACTATTCAAAGAGGTCTTTACTCCTGACACACAGACGTTCTCAAACATTGCGATATGGGTGGCTGACAAGATGTGGAATTTAGACTCCTTTTCATAAAGCTAGGAGGCTGCTCATTTAATAAATTTGGAAGTACAGTCGAACCTGTGTAAGAGAGTAAGATGGCCACGCATTGTCGATGAGAAAAGTGGCTGAATATGCAGGACTGATTAAAATGAAGAAACCAAACTATTTACTTCTGAGGTCCCAACTGGAGGTGTTCGCATGCTTCGGACTGCCGTAAGGCTAATAAAAATGCTTTTTATTTCTTTTGAAAGGGGAGGGTATGTTAAAGACTGGGTTTACGGATTGGGTGGACCTAAACAGTGACCTCTCATTTCACTTACGCTTTGTGTACAAGTTGGAAGTGGGGATGGGGGCTTATAGTTTATGAAGGATCACTTGCTACCCTCACCAGCAGCTGAAAATTTATTGTTACCTATTGGTCAACCTTGGTAAACCTTGGAAGTGACCTGAGCATCATGATCACTGGAGATAATAACAATAATGACAGGTGACTGCAGGATTATGACAGCTCGTTCATAACGTCAGGGGTCAATACATAATTTATGACAAAGCGTTGAGCGATGAGAAATGTTTGTGACTGTTTCAGATAGGTTTGTAAAAAAAATTGTAAGTTAATAAAATATGATGGCCGCAACCGCGTTGGACAGGTGACCGTTTTACACAGTGAAATTATATAGAAAAATCACAAGGAAAGTGGCTGTTTGTACCCATGGCTGTATTATACAGGTCGCCATCATGGCAGGTTCGACTGTATACCCACATACAATATTAGATTCTGAGTTCCTTTTTGGTGTTTGTTTTTAGACTACAAATAGGTGAGTCACATCTTCTCATTTGATGTTTATGATATTGAAGAAAAATATGTTCTCTGTGAATTCCCTGTGCCACAAATCACCTCTGATTATTTGAACCAGTTATTTATGATTGAATTGTACTATTTTTTACAGGTTTACTTCGACATATTTACGGCAGATGTCTAATGGAGAGAACTGGGGAGATGATGATGATGATGATAACAGTTCTGACAACAATGGAGAGGGTGGACCCAGTGATGAAGAGCAGGATGGGCGGACTTTGGGTCAGCAGTACTCTATCACTCCGCCACAGCCGCGATTGCGAAAAAGGCTGAAGGAAAAAAATAGCTTGAAAGGGCGCTTGGATCGTTCATACAAGGAATATTTGATAAACAAGCGCCAGCAGCAATCAAAAGCTCCTGTAAACATTATAAAAAATGAATTTCAAGCTGATCCTGCCCTGTGTAATCTTAGTGAGTTTGATTCAGATGACAATCTAGATAGGGATGTGTTGAGGGAACGGAAAGATAGGTGGCGTAGAGAGAGCAAGGAGAGTAAGAAAACCTTGTCAAAGCTGCGCTTAACTGACCGTGAGGAGAAACGATTGTCTGAAGATTTTGGTGTGCTTGGTGTTACTGACAGTGTTGGTCCCACATCACACCTACCTCTGGAGGGTTCTGGTCGGTTCATGAGTGTGAAACAAAAACTAATGCTGCCTATTAGCGCTGAATCTCGTGCTCGAAGACTGGTGAGTGAGCCCCGGGTTTGTCCCAAGGATAGAGAGGACTTCCATGCTAAGTTTGCCTTACTTATCAATCTGGGCACAGAGGCCAAGAAAGATAGGGAAAAACTGTCAGCATGTAAACGCCAGATGAGTGAGGAGCAAGAGCTGTGGCGCTCAAGTGTGATTGAGGTAATCTGGTTGGAACTTCGTGCTTACATCAACAATGGCAGAACTCCAGAAGAACAGTTTCAGTTACTGAAAATGGAGCGCCAGCAGAATGAAAAAGTTATCGATGATATCACTAACTTTTGTTTTGCTGACGCCTTTTCTCAAGAATGTCCTGACAGTGCCCTCCTTCGGGATTCTCCTGCTGCAAACATATCTTTGTTCACAGACCAGCTTTTCAGGGAACATGTTACCCGCAGTGTGTCTGCCTCTTTTTCCGATGTGAACCTGTCTGATGAGACTGTGTGCCTCCAAGAGAAAGCTCTTGTTCAGGTACAGAGCTTGTTGGAGAGACTTGATCGTTATGAGAGTTGTTACAGCACGGCAAAAGCTTGTAAACAGGATAATATCAAGTTCAAGGATCCTGTCTTTGAGAGGAGGGTGAAGTGCTTAAATCTATGGCTGAACATTACTTGTGATTTGTGCCAGAAGCTGAAACTGTTCGGTCGAATTATTGGGGCTCATTCACGAGATATACAGTGGCCTTTAGTGAACTTTGAGTTCCCCACTCCTCAACCTCGTGAGTTTTTGGCAAGTCCTAGGGCAAGTATTCCCAATGTCCTTGAGACAGAACCCACCGACTCCTCTGAGGAAGATATTGAGGAGAGTGGTTTGGAAGAGAAGGAAGAAGGGGGTGGTGGGGACGAACCCAGGGACAGTTCAGAGGCCAGCAGGGAAGAAACTCCACAGAGTGAGAACAAACAATTCCTCAGCCCCCCGTGCAAGCAAGTTAAGTTTCAGTGTGGGGGGGACAACAGTGAGCATCCGTCACCGTGCCCAAGCCCAGGCCCTGTGCCCGCGGAGGGTAACCTGCCCCTAGACACAAGCACACCTGTCCGAGGCTTGTCCCAGATCACACTCACTAGCGCAGGCTCCTCTGTGCTGAGCTTGTCACGAGCTTCTAGTGATCTAAGCCTAGATGATAGTCGGCAGGTTCGCTCCTCCATCTACAGACATTATGTAGAAAAGTGCCTTCGCAAGATGGGCCTCCAGAGACTGAATATCAGACTGCGAGATTTGTTTCATCGCAGTTTGAATAGAGCGAAGGAGGCATTGGAGCGGCCAAAGGAAGCTTGTTACTCTGACAGCAGTGTTGATGGACAGGTGAGAGAGATTCAGTGTGGTTGTCAGTAGTAGTAGAAATATTGTTGCTTTGGTTTTTACTTTTAAAATAGTTCTTTAAAGGTAAAGAGGATGAATGAAGAAGATGAAGTTCTGTTAAATTTCTGTGATACAATAATGATTAATTGTTATATTATATCAATGGAACGGTTATTGACTGGACTTTGATTTCAAACCATAGTATATAATTCATGATTTTTCATACCTGAATGGCCTTCTTACACTGGGTGTCTAATATTTTTTTAATAACTTTTTTTTGCTTATCTTTGTATAGACAAAGAGGGAAAAAATTGTTTACAGAAATTGATTTCGTTTCAAATTTGTATAAAAAGGCACATTCAGTTTTTCAAATTGTACCAAAAAATTTGGAGTAATTTTAGACCAGTTGGTAGGGATGACTGCCGTATAATATATGCCCATATTTGTACCACGACCTACTGGTTCAAATATGAAATGCTAACAGTCACATTACACAAACATTGTTACAAATTTTTAAAGACTGGTATTTTACCTAGAAGAAATGTATTTATTTATTAGACTCAAATCACAGATTTCACTCTACTCATAACATAAGTTTTTCTACTAATATTGCTAGAGGAGCCTCCTTTTGGGTCCCAGACATTGCTATTCAAGATGCTTGGATTTATCTCTCCTCCGGATCCATAGTTATAGCTTTTATACAGTCATACAGCATGTACCAATTTAAAGCTAGCTAAATTCTGCATCATTTAACACATTAATATTTCGTCTATGTTAAGAGACACCCGAGATATGGTCACTCAGAATTGACCTTTAAGAAATTAGGCTTGGGCAAAATTGTGCGAAATCAAAGAGACACTACACAAAATCAAAGGTTCCCAAGCAAAATAACTAGGAGTAAATATAATATTAAGTCCAAGTTTTGTGTGGTATTTGTGATTGCCCTGTTTTCCAATTTGTTTGAAACTATCGAGACACAAGAGTCATAATTCTACATTCATTGGATATGCAATACATGTCCATTTCTATCTATATATTTATGCTCCTCAATACACACGTGAAAACCATTCTCCGTGTCTTTGATTTTGCACAATTTTGCCAAGCCTGATTTCGAAGGTAAATCTTAAGTGATCATCTCGGGCGTCTCTTAACATAGATGAATTATTATTGTGTCAGATGATGCAGAATTTATTAAGCTTTTAACTGGTATGCTGCATGAGTGAGTTATGTGAGGCTTTAACCGATGATTAGGTGATTACATTTTCAAGTTTCTTTGGCCGCCACTATGTATACACATCATAAATTATATTTATGTGTGTGTGAGTGTGTTCATGCATGTGTCCGTGCAGTAGCAGCATAAGCAACAGATTTTTGTTTCATGATATCATGTATATACTCTATTGAAAAAATGATGAAATGTAAGAACTAAACTTATTATGTTATTTTTGTGTATTTCAATATCTGAAAACAGCAATGCAATCACTTTTAAACACGCATTTTTGTCTGGAGTCTTTGAAGCTGTACTGGTTCTGATTGTGTAAGTCCAAATCCATCGCATTGTAGACATACGGCAGGTAGTTCTTCATCAGGCTTCACAATTTTCTTCAATTATATTATTAAAAGTGTCTGACGCTCATAACTGTTGACGTTATATTTATTATACAGAATTATTGTACATTTCAATTGTCAAGACATGCTTTGATCAACAAAGCTCAATTACTACAACGGAAATTGCACGATTGGTTTCCTCCTAAAGACAAAGGAAGTAACCTTTTAATTTCTGAAAAGATACTTTATGTCCATGAATGAAACCCAAATTTGGTGTCATCTTGTTAAACAGTTATGAGCGTCAAATGACCGATTAAAAGTATACTTTATGGCTCGGGACTACTATTTTTGTCTGGAAATAGTAAATAAAGCTCCTATCATCTAGCTCACACATTGCGCGGGCATTTGAGCAATGAAGACAGAAGAAAGATGAAAAGTGAAAACATTTCTATGTCATCAATGATGTCATCAGCATTATGAGCGTCAGATTCTGGTGTTTGCCTGTGTGTAGGGAGTGACTGGAATTCAAAATGTAGCCTGATGAGTTTTAAAGTAAATTCATGTAGATCTAGTAATTGACAAGTAAGGGGATTCAGATGGTCAAAATCAAATTTTTTGTGTGACGGCAAAGCACCAAATTGCTACACCACAGACGTTTGTATTCCAAGAAGTAGAGAGAAAATATTTGTTTTAAGGAAGAGCATTACAAGGCAATTTGTGCTGCATGAAATGCCAGACATAAGGCGTTCAGGAATTTTTTTTGTTTCCATTATGCAAGTATATAAAATATGATTTTAAAAAATAGCTCCCTAAAATTGTCCTATTTATTCTCTTCTAATGCTCATAAATACTATGATGACAAAAATGTTATGCGCAGAAGAAAATGACTCTTATTTGATGTAATGTTCAAGAAACTACTGACCTCATAATCTTAAAATGTGAGTGTAGAGCTTTATTTTAAACAGACATCATGTGTAACAATAATGCGGTCAATTTTGGGGCATGTGGAGTTACTGGTATCACCTTAAAGTTTATTCTTCGTCTTGCTTTTGATGAAAAAAAGTTGGAAAAGAGAACTGTTTTGATCAGTCCATCTGACGCAAAGGCTCTACAACAAAGATTTCTGCCAACCCGTCCTCAGATTGAGTGTGTACGTTCAATCAAAATCAATGCAAGGAAGTGGCTTGACTTTTCACCTGGCTAAACTCCGCATAAATAATAAGAAAAAAGGGTAGAGGAGCTAAACGCATCACTTCACTTACCCAATTATCGTGTGAGTGTCCAGTGAACTGAGTACACTGCTAACCTCACAGTCATGATATGACTGGCAGTGTGGTGTCAGTCACTGGATGCCTGGGTCAGGGTATTTTAAATTGTTTGTTTTTTATTTTGTCTTGTGTGGTTTTGTTTTATTTTGTGAATGACTGCTGTTCTAGTACTAGGAGTGTTTGAGTCTGGGGACATTTTTTTTTTTAAAGATCCTATAAAAGTTAACAATTTTGATGGAAAACATTTTAAATGTTGGGAATTTTTCTTTAACTTTAGCCTTTTTTCTGTTATTGTTGGTTAAGATGTACGACTTGCGAATTCAGATTCTTTCTTTTAATAACTGACCATAACCTGTCCTTAGTGGCCACCTGTCTATAACAGTCACTTTCGTCTGTGATCTTGAATGACTGTTATGGACAGGTTCAACTGTAGTAAAAGGACTGAATTTTGAAAAAATAGCATTATGGTACGTGTTGAGGTAAATATCTTAACAGAACTGGAGAAATATAAAGGTATATATGGTTTTGTGTCTGTCTAGCAACCAGAGGAAGATCGTGTCTTCTCAGAAGAGGCAACATCATCGAGTGGTCGCAGGCCTTCATTCAATCGTGGCAGCAGTCTCTCTGAACATGGGGAGTGGAGTCAACAGTTTATAGAGATGGGTCTTCCTTCGTTCCGTCCCACATACTTGTTCATTGTAAGGATACAAGTGGATGTCATCCATGAGTGTCTCAAGCTGAGGAAGGACCAACGGCCAATTGGTGACCCTTCTTTCCTCAGTATACGACAGGTAGGGTCTTTTGTACCAGGAACAAATGTGAAAGTCTTGTGTGCCGTCATGGTGTATGCTCACATTTTTTAGAGCTCTTTCTTTGTCACCCTTTTGGTTAAATCAAGGTAATATTTTATGAACTCATTAACAGTATCTTTATGCCAACACTGTGCTACCAAGCCCAAAAAACAAAAGAGTCACCAAAGTAAAATAAACACCAGTTAAATGAGATGCATAAGAAAAACTTTGAACACCACAAGAAGACGCATGGTGAATAACGAGAAAGTAAGAGAACAAGTAGGCTCAACTCCCTGCTCAGAGTAGGGTACGTAAAGATAAACAACACATAAAATGCTTTGTGTCTAGACTACCAGCACCACCAGACAGTACTACTTCTCTTTCAGTTTACTGCTGTTTTCAGATTAATTTTTCATTTAAAGTTGACTCCACTGTATAACCATGCAACAGGCGATACAAAGAACAAGAAAAAGACATTTGTCTCTCCTCTCAACACGGCAAGGTAACACAGGTTGGAAAAAGTAAGGAAGCGTATGTTGTATCTTATTAATAGTCTTTTTTTGTTTTAGTTAGAGTTTAATGGCACTTGCAAACACAGCTAGGTCTTATAAGTGCCGAAGATTAGATGTCTTACAAGAGAGTAACCAATACAAAAAAGGAGAGAGGTAAGGGCAATAGATGTTTGACAGGAAAGAAGGAGCAAATCACTCCAGAGCACCCTCTAACCTCTGTTACAAACAGTTTCTCCTCATCGTCAGATTCTTGTATTTGTTACCTCGGAATTATTGATGTCTAAGCAGTATTTTTAATTGGAAAAGGTGTTTCAATTATGTTTGTATCGTGTATGTACATCATATATTTAGTAGAATGTGCATACGTATGTGCACGGTGTGCATGTTCATGTGATATGGTAGTACTGCTTTATCACTGTATCAGTCATCCCAGTGTTTGTTAATTATGAAGCAAAATGCTGTTTCAGAAGTTTTCCTGGTTACAGTACTTGTCCTTAATTGATACCCATGAGTCCTAGTTCCCAATTTCTCCTACTTTTTTGTGCATCCGTGGTTTATTTATTCTGCAGCTAATTCGTGAGTGCAAAGAGGTTTTGAAAGGTGCATCACTAGTCAAACAGTACTATCACTACATGGTGAATGCCGTCATCTGGGATGAACAGGAGGCAGAGGCCAAGTTTGAGAAAGACCTGGTAGAGTTTGATGAAGATATGAAGAGCATGCTGGATGTGAGTTGTCTCTTCAGTATTATAATAATGATGAAAAGGCATTTATGTAGCGCTCTTTAATATATAAAAAATTATTTTGTCTAACTCATTGGTTTGATGGTTTTGATCTCACAAGAGATATTAAAAGAGAGGTGTATTTTTTTTGCACTTCTTAATAGCTTTGTTCAGCAAAGTGTGTCAAAATAAACAAACTTTATTTTGTTAAATATTTTTCTGTAGCCCTGTTTAGGTGCAGCACAATGACAGCATTCAGAGTTATGTCACAATGAAATTAGCCTTTAATTTTTTGTGTGGGAATGTAGCTTTTTGATGTTTTGTCTTTAGTAGTGAGGCTCTAATGCTTAACACTTTACAGTCACTTGGCACAGACCAGGCCCGAGAAGTCCGTTGCAGTCACTCTCCTGACTGGGTGACCAGATGGGGTATTTTGTACTGCTGGCTGTGTGACTGCAAAGTGTTAAATAAGAAACATTATCTATTCTCAGCCACTAAGTTGATTCTAGGCTGCCTGGTAGAATAAAGTCCAGTTCTCACAGTGGCAACTAAAATCTTAATTTCTCACAAATGAAAGTAGAACTGAAAGTTTACAGGAGCTAAGAGAAATGGTTTTGTTATTACCCTGTAATGGTGTGGCATTATTTCTTCATTTGTGCATGCCAAAACTGCTTTTATTAAAAGTCAGAAACGCGCATTTAGATGACAGTCCGAGACTTGGACCAGACCTGAGGTGAAGAGGTCAGGGCTTTTCTGTATCTCCCCAGGTCTACTTCAACTACTTACAGAGTTGGATCTACATGCTGCAGAGTTTACCAGAGGCTTCACTGGGCATGAAGAGTGCCCTAGAGGAGGAATGGACATTTACCAAGTCCATATGTCCTTTTGTAATGGGAGGAGAAGCAGAGGCAGGCAAGAAGTTCAGGTGTGTTGGTTGCTCCTATGAAGTTATATTAACCCTTCAAGAGGCAAATTTAATTAATTTGCACTGTCCGGTCCCCAAGACGTGAATAAATTTGATTAATTTGAGAACTTCATGAAAGTTAGGGTGGATCGTGAAAAATGCTTATAACTTCCTTATTTTTAAAGAAAAAAAATATGAACCAAATATCATTGAACTGGAAATTGATTGAAGAAAAAAACAGGAGATAAACATTTTCTAAACAATACCTTGTCATAGATTTTATTTGTTTGTTTGTCAGAGAGTCCTTGCCTGTGTGTTAGTCCTGACATTTGGTTGTAAATTTCTCCTAGTCTTAGTGTGAGTTATACAGTCCCAAGCTGCCAACTAACTAGAAAAATTGTTTTAGATCGAAAATATATATATATTTACACTGATTTTTAAACATTTTAACATTTTAAGATTTAACTACTGACCCGAGCCAGCCGTACAGTAAACTGTTGTGAACAAAACTAACTTGTGTTTCGCGCGCTCATATGACCTTATGCAGTTGCGAGTGCCGTAAAACCCTGTACTAAACAAACAAAACAAGCTGCCAAGGACACAGGGGGAATATATACATCACACTTTTTGCTTTGAAATGCAGTCTGTTTCCTCTTTAATCACCACTATCCAGATAAAATGCATTGAACAGGTTGCAAACATTCATATTTGCGTCCGTTTCAGATTCGACACACATTGTCAATCCTTGTCCTCAGTGTTGGGGTCACTACAGTCAGAACATGTCTATCTCTGCTCTCCCCCCCCCCACTCTTCAGGATCCATCCCGAGTCTGTCTGCTTACAGTCTCCATCATAATCTGGTTGGAGATCCGTCGGACTGGTCCTCACGGGTGGCTGTATTTCCCTTCTCCTCTTTGGATCCCTTTCTCCTTCAGTCTACCTTGGGTGTGGGAACCGATATCTGCGTATTCTTCCTCAAATTTGCCCTACAGGGGTTAGGACGGTTGGTGGGTCCAGTGTCAAATTCCCTCGCACTTTTACTTCTGCAGCCAGCTTGTCTGCTCTCTCGTTGCCGGTTACCTCTGCGTGGCCCGAGCAGAAGATCCACTCTCTCCAGGCTGCTCTTCCTGATTGTAGCGTTCCAGTCCGCATACAGCATCCCTTTCTGTACGTTCTGTAGTGTGCTCATAGAGTCAGTAATGATTACTGATCGCTGATGGCTTGTGTTCTTGATCCAGTGTAGAGCCTCACTTATGGCTTTTATCTCCATACACATACTGGAAGTTGTCAGTGCTTTGCTTTTTACAACTACCCCATCAACTCTGACACTGAAGGCCCAGCCCGATTTGACTCCTGTTGACTGATCCATCCGTGAAGATCACAGCATCTCCATATTCGCTGTGCTCTTCTATCAGGGTCTCAATTTCAACGTTTGTAGCTCCAAGTGGCCAGTTGCAACATTCTCTACCCAGTGTGCCTTCACCGTTGTGTACTCTCCGAGCGCATCTTCCCTATCTTCCCTATTGTAGACCTGCATGTTTGCCGACAATCGTCTGAAATCCGACAATCGCGACCCGACCCGACCCGCGAACCGGCCGATGCTATCGCTATGCCTGCCTGTATCAGTCAATGTGCGTAGTGCGAGGCTTGGCCGACTGCCAGCGACCCCTTTTTCTCCTGTCGGCTTCGTCGGCACTTTCGTTTTCGTGCCGACCGCCAACGCGCGCACCGCCGACTGCCGACGTCTGCGTTTCCGACATAATTGTCGGAACCTAAGTAGAAATGCGAATACGAAAAAAGACGACAACTTAAATTATCTACTTTCAGTTTCGTGCTCGAGCAGCCATTTTGAATTTCGTTTGTTGACTAATTCAATTGTTCAGATCGTGTGGATTCATTCAAGTCCGACTCTCTTGTTCTAATAGAATCAAGATCTAGATCTAGATCTAGATTTATATAGATCATTATAGACCTCAATGGAGGATTCATATTCCAATTCTATTGTGTCAAACCCTATCATAGGTTGTGCTGTAATATTAATATTGGTAAAAATAAGCATTTCATCAGGTGCGTGAATTATTTATTTATCTAGATCTAGATCTAGATCTCGAATCTAGACTTAGCAGAGTCCCTCTGTTCGGAATCGGATGCGGATTTTTAGTTCAAGGCCTATTCCTATTCACTTGTTCTACAAGATCTAGATCTAGATCTAGATTTATTTAGATTACTAGATCTATATAGTATATGGAGGATTCATATTCCAATTCTATTGTGTTATTGTATCAAACCCTATAGCAATGTAGATGTAAGCCATATAGATCTAGAATCTAGAAATCTAGATCTAGATCGAGATCTATTTGCTCCTTGTTTGTTTTGGAGTGTGGTTTTTTAATTAAAAATTTTTTTTTTCATTTAGGACTTGTTTTGGCCTTTTTACATGAGGCCCGTTGCAGGTTCTATTTGGGGGTAGGTTAGGGTTAGGTCTCTTCTTTATTGTGTTTGTTGGGGTGGTCGCTCGTTACCCGGATGTCCTTCCTTATGACACCCACAAAGGGTTTTTTTCGGGGGGGGGGGGGGGATTGCGCAAAATTTTCAGACAATCTGGTTGAGGCTCACATGCAGGTCTACTATTGTATAGACGTTAAACAGTACCGGCAAGAGTGCAGATCCCTGTGGTAAGCCTGGTGTGATCTCGGTAGGTTGCGAAGCCCAGCATCCAAGGCGTAGTGCTATCTTTCATTTGGCTTAGGAACTCGGGACAGGTGACTGTCCAGCCAGTCTTCAGGTATCTACCCTGTCCACAGGCTTTCATTTAGCCTCTCAGCTAGTGTCATTGTCTGTCCTTCCTCCATGTTCTTCATGTGGCCATGAGGTACTCTGTCAGGACCAGGAGAAGTGTTGGATGCTTCCTGGATATATTTATGTAACGATTCGTGTGTCACAAATTGTAGACAGGCTTCATCCTTGTTGTCCTGTTGGATCCTGTTGAGCAGCTGTTTTGTCTTGTCCTCATCTTTCATGTTAGTTTGTCTTAGGTATCTCTTAAACAGAGCATGGCCCTTTTTTTCATCAGTGCGCATCCAAATGTTATCCTCTCTTTGGAAATCAGGAATAGCTTGTTTGCTCTTCCTATTAGTCATGCACCTGTAGAAGTTCCAGAACTGATACAGGACCCTGCCGCTGTTCACACCCAGGCAGAAGTTGTCATATGCTAGGTCCTTGGCTTCTTTTGCTGCCTCATCGAGTCTTAGATCTGCTAGCTTTTTCTCAATTTTCAACTGCATGTTTGATCTGTCCCTCTCGAGTCTTCTCAGCGCCAGGCATTTGATCTTCCACAATGCCTCAGTCTCTTCATTCCACCAGGGTGGCTGCTGTGCCACTACTCTATGCTGTATTCTGGGTGGCCTGGAGCTCTTTCGTAGTACACTGATGGGGTCGTTGCCTTCCGAGGGGTCGAAGTAGTCTGTTGTTAGGTCTACCAAGACGAGTGCAAGGTCTATAGCGCTGTCGGAGTCCCCATCTCTTGTGGCTCAGTCTCTTCATTCAGATTTGATTACTGCCTTAGTGACTGATGTAAACAAATTCCTAGACTGTTCTTTTTCTGTTCCAATGCTGGGTCTAGATTCTTGTTTGGGGCTGGAAATGATAGGAAAATCATCATTGAAAAGAGTTTAACCTAGTTTAAGCCATTTCCAGTGGTTCCGTACACAAAGTTGGGTCTCAAGTGCTCGTGTTCACGATCGCAACTATAGTAGCTCTGAGGGACAGTCACGGCAACGTGACTATAATAACTCCGATAACTTCGCGATGGGTTGTCTTACTGGGGAAATCAAGAGAGTGGCTGAGTACAGTTATAGTTTACAGCTGCCAGTCAGTTTAGTTTTCCTTGTACTTACTTGTTTTTCTTAACTAAATTATGGATGACACCTCTAAAAGGGTCGGGTATTTTTCATATAAATGCATGAGACAGTAAAACATGTACTTTTTGTTATTGTTTCTTCTTTGAGGAAAGGTCTGAAAATGCTCTTTGACTTGTGCTCTGAATGAGATTTGTCTTGAAAATGAATTCTGATGGGTGTATTGCTAACTGCTTAATGATTGTTTTAAGAGATCAAATTCTGAACAATTAGAAAATGAACGTTTTTAAAATCTTCTTCTTTGTGTTCCCCTGCTATATCTCAGGGGTAGTTGACTGCTAGTTCTTCAACTTGCAGTGCAACTGATTTTTATGCATGAGACCTTTTTTCCAACTTAGTAGGGCCTCTTGCTTTCAGGCAGCCACATTCTAATTTCGAAGGTACTCAATGTTTATATACAGACTAGGGTATTTTCAGTTTTCGTAGGAATTGATTTTTAAATTTTGCCCGTATGTTGGCTGAAGCTTACTCTTATCGATTTTAGTACCACCAAGAGATCTTTTAATATGCACAACTTGGGATTTTTAGCTCTTGTCTGAGAAGGCTAGGTGTTTGATCTTACTTAACGTAAGATCAGGGTGTAGTTTAAAGACAGCAGTAAGATGGAGCCGAGAGGAACAATACATGTAGAAAGAGTCAGGAGTAAAGTAGAGGAGCCTGGAGTCTGTGAAGGGGGAGGGGGGGGGAGTAAATGCAATAAATGACTTAATCAGTGCTTCCACTCTTCCGTATTTTTATGGAAATTCGTACTTTCTGCCAGTTCCGTACTTGTTCCTCCATCATTATCAACTTCCTACGTAAAAAAACTTCGACAGCGTAGGACTAGATATTTACTGAAATTCCATAGCAAAAGATCCGTACTCGCCTTCGTATCGTCTTGTATAAGCTACGGCAATAAGTTAATGTTATAGAGACCTGCAAGATTGCGCATTTCCTGCAATCGGCCATTATTCCGCTATGCCCCATGCGTTCATTGCGGGTTGGCCGGCAGTACATTTTTACCTGCAGATTGATCAAAATCTGGCGAACTTTTTGTGCCAATTTCCTCCTTTCAATTATTCACTTATTCCGTCTGTCTATCTTCGGACTGTTGCAGGGGCTGGAAAATATGCGCGTTGATCAAATAAATTGACTTGTGATCTTAGACGGAAAATTACCTTCAGAAAGAAACTTGTTTGCAAATTTATTGTCTAGATCTGGAGAAATTATCAATGCAAAGATTCAATGGCATGGGAACGCGATAAGGGCCGCGATGAAATAAATTATGCTAAAACTACTAAAATCAAGAATAATTCGAAGTGGTGTTCCGAGATTGTGACATGCAAGATTCAGAAGTGAAAATTGTGGAAAATTAAGGTATACGCTGGGTAACTGTATTGTGAAGGTGCCTAACTATTCATTATTCCCAGGTTTGCCTTCTATCAATCGTGCGATGACAAATTAATTGAATTATAGTAGCAATGGAAGGGGAACCTGCTTTTAAACATTGCCAGCAATGGAAAGATATGTAGGTGAAAAAATCAAACAAGACGAAATGTTGGCGAACAAATAAATGTTATGGGTTGTAGGCAATCTCTTCAAACAGGCTCCCAAATGCCATTTTGAACCCTCTAAAAGCACTAGATTTCTATTTCTTCGGGGGGCAAAGCCCCCTGAACCCCCACCGGGACTCTGTCCCTGGACCCTGCGGCCTCTGCGACCCCCGGCAGAATTTTCTTTACTTTTCAGCTTCAGCTGGTGGAAGCACTGTTAATAGAAGCAGACGACAAAACTTGTCTGGAGAACAACAAAAGAGGTGAAATGAGACAATTCCAGAGAAGAAAATTATTCTGTCGCTCTGAGGCAGGTTTTGAACATGGGAGGGACCTATTGAATGAGAGGCAAGCACCATACCTCTAGACCACGAGAGCTCCCGTACAGCTTTATCAGTAATAGAACGATTTTCATTTTTACAGTGCCCTAGCCAGCAGCCTACTCAGCTCCATTGCAGACTTTGTAGATACTGGTATTGATGACAATACCAGAAACCTCTACGATGACGATTTCCCAGAGGAGGATTGTGATGAAGAGGAAGATGAGGGAGATGAAAATGACAACATAGACAATTTCAAAAGAGAACAAAAAATGGCAGACATGAAGTGAGTATTGTGAAATGATTATGCAGACTTTTGTATTTTTTATTTGTTGCTGTATTGTTTTAAAGATTGCTTCTGTATTTTTTACAAACAGGTAATAATAATGATAATAATTACATTCATATAGCACATAACTACGCTCTACAGTATGTACTTGGTGCTTAATAATTATTATTACCTTACCCCAGCAAGCCCTAGAACACTCAGAAACATTCTCTGGCAAGCAGCCGATTAAACGCTCAAACACTAACAGACTGACAAGATCTTTTGCTCTTTATAGCCTGTTACCCATTCAACAGCTCAAAAGCACTAGCATTTGCTTATAGTTGCCCAACAGCACTTGTATTTGCTTATAGTTGTACTAATGAAATATTTCCCTTTCTTTCTTCTCTAGACAGAATGTTCAAGGGATTCTCCGAAACTTCAAAAACTTGTTCAACGAAGCCCGAGAAAGAGCATCTAAAGCCCTTGGCTTTGCAAAACTACTAAGGAAAGTATGTACATTTCGGACCATGTGTTTGAACTATCCTTGAATTTCAGGGAATAGTGGGCTTTTATAGAATCATTTGTTTTTGTGTTACTGCATGTGCTGCTGAGTTGAGGATATGTGCATAACCAGGGCTGGCCACCATTACAAATTTGGTGGAAGCATCATGATTTTTTTTCCAGTGTTGTGAAGATATACTCAGAGGCAAAGAAATGCACAATTTTCATCATCTTTAAAGCATTCCATTAGTGAATACTGTTTACATGTTCCATTGAGGCATGGTCTGAACCAGCTTGATTTGCCTCATTTAAAAAATGTAATTCACTGATTTGTCGTTTCTGCAACAAACAACTAAACAACTACCACAGCTCATGGGTACTCACTTGCCACATCATTCAAGTAGTAAGTTGTGTTCATGAGGGTATGTAGGCCTAACCTATAAATTTGAAGCGTTGAAATGCGTAATTCAGTTGAAAACGAAAGCAGTATCAAGATGTCAAGACTTTCTTCAGAAAACCGTGAGGGAGCTATTGGACAACCACATACTGGCGAGTCTGCTTGACATATGGCAACTATAACAGGCGTGCACGTTTCCACCATCTACAGACTACAGAACATTTCGAGCCACCAACACGACAAGTGATCTCCCTGAGCCGCAAGACCAAAGACGACAACTGCAGCTCAGGATCGCCTCATGGTGCGCCAATACAGTTCCTGATAGCCACTGGGACCACTAAGAACACCATTGGACAAACAGTACGGGCCCTGTGTACCAGAATTGTGCGGCGGAGATTGCACTCCACAGGCATTCGGTGCAGACAGCCATGTAACAAGACAGTTTTGACTCCTCCTCAGCATCTCTGTGACCAGCTTCTGTGGATACAAGCTCTCCTGAACAGGTAGAACAGACAATGGAGAAGGGTGCTATTCACTCTCGGGAGCAGATTCTTCGCTCATCCCACAAATGGGCGCACCTGTGTATGGCGCACAGACCTGACGTGCTGCGCTGATACCAACAATGTGGAGAGCGACCCTTGGGGACGGCCAAGCAGGAGTCATCGCCCTAAATCAAAGAATTGGACCCGTTTCCTTTTAGAATGTGGGTCAGGGACAAGGATATGGGGTCACAGCTCAGCGCTAGATTGACCTAGTTTTTCAGACTCATATGGTGTTCTTTTTTCAGATGCTTCCAAATTTCTTTTTCCGCCAAGGCAACGCAAAACCACATACTGTCCTCCTAACACAGCAGTTCTTGGGCAGATCAACATCAGTCATTTACCTCATCCGGCTCGTTCACCTGACGTATACCTCATTGAGCACGTCTGGGGCGCTATCCAGAGGCAGGTCAACCAGCTGCAACCAAGATCATGGATAGCCCCTCAATTGGCTGCAGCCTCCGATCACTGTGGGCACAGATCTTTGGTCGATAAATAAATGCTCTTGTGAAATCCATGGGGAATGGTTATTGCAGCCAACTGAGGTCACACAGGCTACAGGCTTTCAGTCCCAAGGTCACGGTCTCAAAAATAACAGTGACGCTTAAAACACACCTAAGCTCCCATTTATTGACACTCTCGTTGCTGAGTAAATTAAACAAATTTGAATTTCATTTACTCATGACAAAGTCCTGTGGAGAGAAATGTGTTTTGCTGATGCTTTAGTTATTCACTTTTCTTTTGCCTATAAGTATACAATCACAACACCCCGAATTCCAAAGCTGCCATTTTCTACAGATTTTTCTGGTATTTACAGATTTTGGACTTATTCTACTGTCGTACCGAAGGTGCCTAAACCGCCGAATTTACAATGGGCTCCTGAGATTTTTAAGATTTAAAAGAAATGGATGACCTTATTTGGGCTTTTTTTATTATGTATGCCAAATAAGTACTCCCCTTATTTAGGCTGTATATAGCCCAAATAAGGTAACTACCCTCAGGTAAGCTTATACCATGGCGCACCGGCAGTGGAAGTTTAGTTGCAGCAGTGGGGTTCCCTGCGGAGCCCCTTATCACGTCCGGGTTACGGGGGTCAGCTCCTTCTCACCGCTCTGTCTTGGCTGACTTAATTTTTGGTACTTTTCAACGTACAGTTTTAGGTGTATCCTTGTATTTATGGTAATTATAATTTAATGCACCCAAAGCATGCATTTTTGCTCTTGAGACTAAAAAAAAGAACGGACATTGTAACTTGTCTGGTTATTTCGTTAGACGTGCTGAAGTCGGCAATGCTAAATTGTAACATTTTTTGGATAAATGTGAATAAAAAACAACAACCAGTATTTAAAAAACGGCGTGACAAAAATTGTTGAAGTTTTGGAACATGAACAACATTACATTGATGGAGATACTCAGAAAGCTGTAATTTTGCAACTTGATCCATCCGGCACACAATTCGCAATGAAGTAATTCCTCCAAATACATCATGTGTCTAATATAATCGAAATATTAGCATATTTTCTCGAAAGTTTATAAAAATTACCCTGTAGTATCTCTGAAGAAGTACAAATCCATTTTAGTGCCAGAATACATCTACATTACGAACGATCAGTGTCTGTTACACTCCTGAAACTCCTTACTTTTCTTAAAACGCTAAGAATAACAGGGATGACTTCTCGTAATTGGGTTATAAGAATAGTTTCTAGCTTTCAAGTGACACTGAATCAGCACCAGACTTTTTCCAGCTTTTATTTTCATTCTGTAACCATTAACAATAACTAACAGTGTTCTGATTTCTTTACGTTCATATGTCCGTGCATATTTCCGACACAAAAACTAAGAGTGAATGTGTTAGTTGTCATTATTTTTATTCCATACAAGAAGTTTATCTCTTCCCATGTATTTACACAGTTTTTGGGGGGTTTTTAAGTCACGTAATATATCTTTCGTAGTTGTATGCAGGATGCCCCAGACACAGCATGGTTCATGAACAAACGCAGAGAAACTTTCTCTTGTTTAATGGTAAAACAAGAGCTAACACTGAGTGTCTTTTGTCAAAAAATGCAGATGTGCATCTTTCTTCTCTAATAACTTAAACAATCTTTTATTCATAAGTAAATAAATAAAGTGGGACAAATTGGGCACTCTACAAACACTTGTCTAGAACAAGAACTAAGGCACAGAAATTAATCATTTCTACACAAAATTTATCACAAGACATTGAGCTTTTAGTACATCAGTGTAATGGTTTGCTATGTGGGGAAGAAGTTATATCGTTTCAAACATAGACAAAAATGCGAACTTCTTAAACGACACCGGCAAAGTCACTTCAGGGCTCACTAACCCCGTGACCCCTTGAGTCACATTTACTAAAAGTAACAGACTTGGGCGAAAAGCGACGCCGTGATACGCCTCTGCCGGGGTGGTTAAAAACTTTGATGAACATTTAATTTCAAAGTTCATAGTTTAATACATAGCAGCAGAGCTGGGGCTGTACAACAGGATGACTGGTGACTGAAAGGCTGAATTTGAGTAAAATCGCGGGGACACTGGAAACAGCCCGAGAATTTAAGGGTGTCACTGATTAACAAATGAAAAAAATAATTGTACTCCAAACTTTTGAATACTTGTCCTAATATGGTCTATTAGTTCAATTTTTTCTGGTCGTATTCGCAGCGTTTGTTTGTTACACTAGCAGGTGTAGCGCAAGTTTAGGTTCAGGTGTCATATCAAGGCTCAAAATCTCCTACAATTTTCGTAGTTGCTCAAATATTTAACTTTTTGAATTTTGTCAATCAGTCTGACAATTGTAGATTTTACAGCTCTTGCCAGATGTCTTCTGCATGATCATAATTATTTATACTGGTTTTGTTTGCTACCCGCAGGACTTGGAAATAGCTGCTGATTTCAACATCACTGTGACCACTAAAGAGCTTCTGACCAAACTAATGGAAACAGACCATGTGCAGGTAACTTTCTCTGCAACAACATCAAAATAAGCCAAAGAAGGGTAGATGGATCTGTTGTATTTTTTATAATATGGGGTGGGGGGGGGGGGGTTGTTACTTATGCACTAGGAAGTTTCTCACTCATACCAGGAAAGCAGGAAAAAGCTAGGAAGAACATAATACATAATGCAGTGCTGAATTTGATATTAATATTACAAGAGGATGTAGTTTTCAATAGGTTTATAAATAAAAATTATATTTTTGCCGGGACACAGGAACTCTATGCAAAGTTTCATGCACGTTTGTAAGTTGGTAAATGAGCTAGAATTTTTTTAAGAAGGGCAGATGAAAGTGGACAAGCTTTAGTGTTGGGTAACATTGTGTAAAATGGATATGCCATGTACGGCACATATGGCCCTAGGCTCTAGAGGGTTAAATGGTGTAGATTGTAATAAGTGTTCAGACTTTCAATGTGATCCGTGATTTGCAAGTCAGCTCCGAGACACCTAATAAGTATTTTTTTCTGCAGCTGGTGGCCCCGTTGAGTGCCGGCTACATGATGTTTGTCCCCAGCAGCATCATCTCCAATGAGCGTCTGATCTACCAACTGCTGAATGTGACCTCGGGGCGAGAGGGTGCCACGGAGCTGACGGCAAAGGAAGAGGGCTACCTGCTGATGATGCGTTGTGAAAGTGGCACGGACCAGGTCAAAGAGTGCCCGCGGTGGCCTGGCCAGCCTGTGCATGTGGAGCCTACCGCTGAGACGGCCATCGCTCTCTCCCACATAGAGGTCAGTGATATGGTGGTTTGGGCTGACTGACCACATTTTCTTATAAAAGTATTCATGATACCAAATAAGACTTTTAACCCTCCTCGCCCATCGTGACTAAAAAAGGGAACAGTCCGCTTGAAAAATTCTTTTACTCAGCAATGTGGCTAGCCAATTGCGTGAGTCGCCAGTGTTATCTTCATTCATTGTATCCGACATGTTTTCATGTGGCCATAGCTGATGTTAGCAGAAATGACATCATGCACTTACTCCCCCCTCATTGTACAAGGTGACCCAAAAGTAGACCAGACATTTTATATATATGAATAAAATGTCGTCACCCAAAAGTAGACATTCTATATAGTAAAAAAGTCATACATTTTGAAACAAAACTGAACGTTTAAGTACAATTATGTTGACCGATCAATGCACATTAACCCTGATATGGGAACTTGTAGGTTGGCTTCCCCTCTAGCCAAATGATTATCATTGTGTTGGAATTCTTCTCTTTACCTCAAAGAAACAAATAAATCTCCACAGGTGATGGGTCTATTGTTTGTAGTAACCCACTCCGGCACCCTGGCTAATCAGAGGAAGTACTTTCAAAACAGTATGGGTAGCTGTTTGCAGCTGGTTAATGAACAGACCTCCTGCCATCAGTCCATCGCTGAGTCACTCTCAGAGTTAAAGGTAAGACCATCTGGTTCTATTGGGTTAGCTGTGTGAGGGCTGACATGCTCTTCTATTGATGGTTGTTTGGCAGTGACAATGGGAATATAGCCTTTTGTGGCTTCTCGTGTAGCTATTGTCTATTTTTTAAGTGACACTTTCTGCTGAAGATAAGTTAGAATTTGTTTCATTTTTGTATATTGCTCAAATTCCATTGATAATTGCTCTGAAGAATGGGCTATTTCATCTACAGGTGTCGTGGGGGGGGGGGGGTTTGCTCCTGTCTCTGTTCTTTCTTTGTTACTGTCTAGGTCTTTTTGATGTTGAATGCTGTTTCTTCCATTGGTATCATGCTGGTCTATAATGCGAAAGACGCTTCTTCAGATCTGAATGGGTGATCTTAGACTTGGATTGTTAAGTTTTCGTGGTTCTCCATCCTCTTTGCTCTGTTCCTTTGGAGATACATGTTAATCACTGGGTCTCTTGCTTTGTCTTGAACAGACCTGCAACTCATCCCAATTGAATCGGGATATCCCGAATTTTTGCCCCAAATCTCAAGCATCCCGATTTACCCGATTTCGCTCGTGTGTATACTGATTTTTTTTTTTTCTCTGTTACGTCTGATTCGTTTAAAAAAACGAAAAAACATGCAACTTTTTCTTCTATCTCTTTTGCTTGGAAGTACCGAATAAAACATCAGTGCAGGATCTAGTACATGACTCGCACATGCATTTTAAATAAAATCTTATCAATTTGGAATCCTGTCTTAGATACTCTGAAGATCTACTTTTGTTACCCCCTCCTTTCCTGCTTTCTAACCATGTTCTTTCTGCCGTCTTCTTTTGTCTCCACATTCTGCCCCCTTTTGCCCCCTTGCCCCCCTTCCTCTGGGCTCCTGGCTTTGCTCTCCTTGGCTTCTTCTTACTGCTGTCTTTTAACCAGGTAAGATCCAACACCTAGACTTAAAGGATAAAGGCAAAAAAATCTCGGAGGTCCTGTGTACAAGTTGTGCTTAAGTCCACACTCTACTTTGTAGGACCAAAATCTACAATTAAGTGATTTTTACTTGTTTTTTCTCATTTTCTCAAAGTAGTCCATTCAAGGATTAAAAATAATCAGTTTTGAAAATCAGTATCATTTAAATAAACACTGAAATGGCAAATTAGAGTGAAACTGAGCTATCTGATGGACTATTTTCAAAAGCTGAAAACTCAAAAACCATTCGTGCTGTCTATGAACTGATGACATATTTGTAATCTGCATACAAATGTTGAGAAAATTATGCTAGCTTTTCTTGAAATTGTAAATAGTAATAATTTTATTACTTTTATAATAATATAAGCAAATGTCCACCATATTGGATAATTTCATCAAATTTCAAAAGCAATCTTTTCTCTTATTTTTCGTCCGTTGGCTTTCATTTTTAGTAAGTACAAACTACAACACCTATGTAATGAACGAATAATGCTAGATTTTTAATATTACAACTATGAAAATAATTATGGACTGAAAATATGTACTATGGACAAATAGCAAAAAACCTCGAAATTCCCAACAAAAACACTGTAACTTTATTTTCTTATTATCTTCTAAAAAGGCTCTATTTCAGTAAAGGTCTCCTATGAACGCACATTGTGTAAAAATATGGGGCCATTCAGATGAAAAATAATGGAGAAGACGTAATTTGAAATTGGAAAAATAAATATTTGAAAAAGAAAATGAAGAAAATATTTTAAAATAAGACCCTCAATTTGCAAATTATTTTTTAAAACCCATTTTTACTTAACTTCTGAACATAATTGATTGAAACGGGCGCTTGAAACTTCGAAGGAAATGGATGTAGGTCTAAAAAAATGGAGGAAAATAAATTGCATAGTCATCCTGGGTCAACATGGGGAAAATTTTACCCCACAGATGGCTTTAACAACCCTGATTCCAATTTTTGAACATTCGTATGCCGGTCAGCTTCCCCAAACCCACTTCTACTTTCTTGGCGTAAACAGATTCCTACAGTCTATGTCACAATGACGTGTGCTGCTGTCTAAGTTTAATTTAACACCCTCTGTGCACGGAACCCAAGTAGTTGCTCAGTATCACTTTGCCCTGTAAAAAACATCAGTTTCCGCAAAGTCAGGAGTGAGACCAAGATTAGTTTGACAAGGTGTTGAAAAATTCCAGCGCTTTTGCATTATGGGGGCCAAGGGCTAAGGCCAGTGAGAGAATAAAGAGAAAAAGAAAATGGATCTAATTTTACACTTGAAACAATCAGTTACGATGTGGGGCATGTTCTGTAGTGATGTAGGATTTACACTCAGGATCAGAGGTGTATGACACATCAAGCCACTTTAGTTTTAGCGAGAGTCAAGCCAACAACAGCCAATAAATACAACACCACCATAAAAAAAACCCCAACCCTGGAAAGTTTTTTCTTCTTGATATGTGGGAACCCAGAAAACAACATTTGTAGGAGAGAGAAAAAAGCTTTTTTCCATTTTGCAACTGTACATACATTCTGTATTTTGGTTTTCACAACATTTAGAATTGAATTTCAACCAAATATTTTTGAAACTGAGATTTTTTTAGAATTTCAAAATATTAGGCTTTCTACACCTGAAAAGCTGGGAAACTATACAGCCTGACATCCTGTCTCTCTATTCTTACCCTTAGACCAATGCGATTGAGTTGATGGCCAAGCTGGCCCAGGCCATCCAGCAGGTGAATGAGAAGCTCAACTTCAACGAGGTCATCCAACATGAGGAGAGCATTCTCAAGCTCTACAGGGAGACCATGCTCAAGATCTATGACTTTGGTTTTGAGGTTAGACAAATTTTTATTATTGTTTATGTATGTGTATCAGTTTTGTTTCTTAAATTTAATTTTTATGGAGATTCTTTTTTGCCAGAGAGTTTGTTTTGATATCAAGTCAGTTCTCAAGATTTATTTTTTGAAATGTCACCTGAATGTGTCTAACAGATACATTGATTACGACTGTTAACTCATTCGCTACGCCGAGCCGTGGGGGGCGGCGCGGCTAAAGTATGCTAAGCCGCCCCCGGCGGCTCGAGAACCGACGTTTAATTTTAGCTTGGTTTCTATTCCAATCCACATATCCATGTTAAAATAAAGGTCATAATATAAAGTTGACTTCCGGGTCAAGCGTTTCCACCGAAAATCGAGGGTTTTGATTCAGTTTTGAAACACGATTTCGAAGTTTATGCGACATGGTTTTATCGCGAAGCCCAAATTATAGCCCAGACACCAGTCTTAGTACTTTTACTCAACAAAATGTATCATTATTTTGCTCACTAAAGAAGTGTAGGATTTTTCTTTATAATATTGATGCTACTGGACTCAATTGTCAGTGCACTGTAATTGAGATCAATATTTTTGAGTGCTAGATCTAGGCCTAGATCTAAATAGTCAAAATATTTTTTTTCTCCCCAAAATCACTACTTTTTGGTGAATTTACTCTAAAAGTACCACCTAAGACATGTATAGGTTTATTCCAAATGCAATTCTGAATAATTCCATATAAGATACGAGTGGTTTTTTTCTGTTTGGGATCCTTTTTTCAAAATTATTGAAAAAAAAATATTTTTTTAATCCAAATGTACAAATATTATGGAATGTATGTAAATAACTGCTCATTTTTCAATATTTTCCTGTTCTATATACAGTTATGGTTATTTTGATGTGTAATTTGACTAGGTGCAAACATATTTTTTTAGTTTCATCTGAGATTATAAATTTTTTGTTTTCAAATTTTATCCGCAGCCAATCACAATTGTGATGCATAATCGCCTCTTACAGGAACCAAAGTTGAAAAATACTCAAATAAACAATACAGATGTTTTCTACAAACCATACTGAAAATGTTGGTATATAATATGTTGATATTTATTTGAATTTATAGCCCCCAAGACCTGTGAACTGCGCACTAGTCATCATATCATTTCGCCCTCCCGAAAAAAATTCGTCCACAAGCCGAAAATGATACGTAGCGAATGAGTTAAATCCCTCCAAAACTGATACTTTAGTTGATGACCAAGCCCCAACCTGACCTCCTGTGCAAAGATAATACATCTGTCAGTCATGCACTCTTGCATTCAACCACCATGATGATAGGAATGCTTGCCACCATACCTGTATAAAAGTTGATTGCGTTAATTTTTGTATCACTTTCCTTCGCAATTTCTCCTCATCTGATTATCATTTAAGGATCTTCACATTCACTTCTGACATGGTAAACCACTGCCAAAAAAGAAACAACCACACACTGACACAGGTATCAAAACATTACATGTCATTATACAATAAATATTCTAATGAAAAAGTACTAATAAAGCACCACATTCTATTTTTTTAAAAACCCACTGCATGTCATTGGATACAAAGATATGGGTTTGGCTCTACATGACAGATAATGCGGTGAACTCATCCATGCTTCTGTTGCCAAACTGGGGAGAAGAGGCGCTGGGATACTTTGTAAAGTTCTGAATGTTGTCATGCAGCCCCAGAACCTTCTTTAAAGTTCAAAACAAATGTCCAGCATGCCTTCGGCCAAGAAAAAGTGTTGATATTTATGTACACTGAAGCTAACCCTTAATTACTCCATAAAAGTGGACTACGCACAAAACAGCTGAAGGAGTGCTAAAACAAGACCACTTCTGGTTTATGTTACGTGAATTTTGAGAATTTTTAAACTTTTGTTTGATGACAAAGTACCTGATCAGTATGTTTTGTGAGTTTAATTCACTTTGAAATTTAGTGAGAGGGGGTAGATTCCACGATGCAAGGCACTGTCTGCCTACAAACTTAAGTACTGATTCCTTATAGCTGTGTAATGATTATTTTTTGGTTATTTTTATCTGCTGTCAAATATACATGCACCTCCTCTTAGTGTTGTCTATGTGTGTGAGAGCTAAGTTGAGTGATAGTTCTGCATTGTACAGTGCTAGAGCCTTCTAAGAATAAGGTGTTATATAAATTCCACTTATTGTTATTATTATTACTACGGACTTCAACTTAAGTTAAGGACCACCTTGACAGACAGCCCTGATATTTAAGAAATATGAAAAAAGATACCAAAGAATGTTTCAAAATGTTGTGCTCTAAAAGTGGTAAGTGTTAACAATGCTCACTGCAAAGCTTCCTAAAGGGGCAAAACCGCCACGTGCAGCATGGAAGTCCTTGGGGAATTGTTTTGGCCTAATTTACTGTTTTTTATCGACGTGTGTGTGACACCACAGATATTCCTCTTTTAAAATTAACCGTACTCTCTTTGGTGGCAAAAACTCTTTGTGAATAGGGAATTAATCAAATTCTCTGGTCCACACGTCGTACCATTGCAGTCTTGGTGTACTTTACACCCCCTGGCCGGCCGATTTTTGGTTGCCTCTCTAAAATGATTTTCTGGTCCTGAGGATGTCGTTATAGAGAGGCTGCACTGTATTTATTTTGCATTCTCAGGTTCACCACATGGGTGACATATATTATGTGTATAAATACAGTCGAGCCTGCCCTGATGGCCACCTCTATAAGACGGCCACCTGTACAAACGGCCACTTTCCATTTCCCTCCTTGTGTTTTTTCTATATAATTTAACTGTGTAAAACAGGCACCTGTCCAACGCGGCCGCGGCCACAATAATTTAACACACAACCCCTATAATACTAAGCAATAATACCTGTCTAAGACGGTCACCTTAGTGACTCCATTACGTTTTGTCATAAATTGTGCATTGGCCCCTGGCGTTGTGGGCGAGCCGTCATAATTCAATCATCTGTCGTTGTTGTTAGGTAGTTCCTCCAACCGATCATGTTGCGTAGGCCCCTCCCACTGTTGACCAATAGCTACCAATTTTCAGCTGCTGGTGAGGTAAGCGTGTGATCCGTCATAACCCATAAGCCCCGCCCAGAACTCATACACAAATCGTAAGTGAGATGAGTGGTTACTGTTTACCCAGTCTGTAAGTGTAACAAAGTAACAAAGGACGTCAACATGAACTTGTTACAGAAACGTCCCTCGTTCTCCAAGTGGTGGCGACCCATGTGTTTGTGTGTTTGTTTTAACATGGCACTCGGTGTTCCTTGTTTGATACATTTCGTTTTATTGTCACCATTGTGCAAAATCAGCGAAAAAATAAAAATTACAAACGAAGTACAAACCAACAGCAACAACACCAACAAAGACAACAACAATGCAGCTACTTTCGATTAGGGCCTCAGATGGGAATGGTTTGTTTCCTTTATCTTGATCAGTCCTGCCTAAGACGGCCACCTGTCTTATACGGCCACTTTTCTCCTTGACAATGGGTGGCCGTCTTACACAGGTTTGACTGTAGCTTATGTTGGGAATACGGGCAAAGTGCTTGTATGCGGCTTTGACTACAGGGGTAAGCACTGTGTTATTGTGTGTCTTGACAGCTTGTGTAGACATGACTGACATACCTTTCTCTCCTGCTCGATTGTCAGGTTGTCATGGCTTTCATAATGCATCTTCAAATTTTTTAACTCGCTATGTCTTCTTTTTCCTTCTCATCAACAGTATCAGAAAGAGCTGATGCGTTTAATTTGCCGTGACCAGCGAGAAAAGCAGTGCCTGATGATTGTCGCCTTTGCCAAGGACTGGATGAGCTTTGTCATCAACAAGTGTGAAATGGGCAGGGGAACAAGGCCACGGTGGGTCTGCCTGGCTACGATGTTAGATATGTGGTTGACTGTGCTGTAAATTTAGATGGCATCAAGCTGGACTGAAATGTTGGCATCTCTGTTTGAGTCCTTAGCGGCACTTGCATTGTGTATGGAATTTTTCTTGCAGGCTCACCTGCCACTTGTCCTGATTTAAACTTACAAGCAAATTTTTAGTGTTTAGAACTTTGATAACTACCATAAGAGTTCTCTGCAAAGCGCGTTGGTGCAGGCCTTGTGCGGAATCGGGATCCGCCATGCCTTGTTATTGAACTAGTGTTCGCGTTTCATTGGATGGGGTTATAGTAATCTATATCTATATTTTAGCTTTCTGTTCAAGATTGGCAGAATTTCAGTGTCACTGCATCTTGCCTTCCCTCAGATCTTACACTACTAAGTTATACCTCTTACACTGAATAGATCTACTTGAGCAATTCAAGTTATTACTCTTCTTTGAGTTTGAGCAATAGTTTTCGTCTTCACGTTTATTATAATATATATGAATCATGACAGCCAGACTGGTTATTGACAATCGATTTTCTGGTTGTAGGTCTTTTCTCAGGCTCAAAACGGGATTCATTTTTATGTAGTTTATGTCGACTAATATGATGAGGGGAAAATATAAATAAGTAAGAACAGACTGAAATACCTAAGTCACACAAGATCCCAATGCCACACTGACATGTTGTTGACTGGATATAACGTACCTACATGTGTGTGTGTATGTGTATTCACAAACATGTACATATATTATATATAATATATATATATATATATTTATCGATATGAGAGAGAGAGAGAGATAAATGGAGCACATGCTGTCATTGTTATGTAACATGCCCCTGGAAAATGGATGAGACACACCTCCCCTGGAAAATTGAGAAGCTGGGTTGGCAGTCACCCAGTATTATTATCATGTATTGTTTGAAGACTATACTACAACATATGCGTTCATGTAAAGACATTTTGACTTTATCATTGATAGATGGGCTTTTTGGGGGATCATTCTTGACTCGTAGCGGCCTTATTTCTCCCTGAAATTGGGGTCTTGAAAAAAATTTCCAGAATTTGGTGGGGACCCTGTGGTTATTATTTTTTTCTAAAATTAGGATAACAAAATGACCTCAAACCCTTCTAAAATAACCAGATTTAGCTATTTTATGCCTCATTTTTTTCGAAATGTTCCGGTGGCATCCCTGTAGTTTTCAGCCTTTTTTGTGGCATGCCATTCTCAACCCTGAATAACAGAGTGTGACGTTTATTCAAAACTGTAGAAGCGAAGATATGCGCGAAACAAAACAGGGAGTTTTTAGGCGTACCAGATACACCCACAGCGCACACGAGAGTGAATTGTTAGGGCGCGTACCAGGTGTGCCCACAGAGCAGGCAAGGGGTTAAAAACACATATGCTAAGCCAAAGCCAGGGGTATGACCAACATAAGTTTGACGTGGTGTTGGGCTTTTGCGTTGTGGTGATGGTTTAGGTCAATGACAGAACTTAAATGTTCATGGCCATCTTGTGATATTTCTAGTCAGTTTACTAATCTTTTACTTTTTGATTGCTAAAACATGCTGGTGGGTGGGCTGCCCTGTCACACTGGGTGAAAGAATATCCTACCAGCAGCAATTTCTTTTCGGCTGAGGCCTTTTTGTGTTCAGACATTGATCTATGGGCGTTTGGCGGGTGCTCTGGTGTGGTTTGCTTCTTCTTTCCTATGAAACATCTATCGTCCTTATCTCCCCTTCTTTTGTTTTATGTTTATTACTCTCTTGTAACACCTCTAATCTTTTTGGCGCTCATATGACCTTATGCTGTTGCGAACGCTGTAAAACCTCTTCTAAAACTAAAGACATTGATCCATGACTTAAGATAGAGTTTCTTTGCTCTGTCATTTTAAAAAAGAAATTTACCCTGAAAATGGTGACAAAAACCTGGAAAAGGAAAGAAAAAAAAACAACATCTCCAGGACTGTTTTTCTCCTTGATGAATGGAAACCCTGTAGGGCAGATATAAGTGGACATACTAGTTTGTTACTTGCTTCAGGACTTCCACAATGTTATATGGCGCTTTCATGTCTTCAAAAGAAGCAAATTATATTTATCAATAAGTCAATAGGTTTCTGAGATTTGAGGCTTATTGAAAAAAATTGAATGTGACCTTGGGGATTGAAGCTTAGCTCGAGTATTCTCAACAGAATAGACACACACAAGCAGGGAAAGTAGAAACTTGTTTATTTATGAATTTTTATTTTTATTTCAGTTGGGCCACAACCGGATTGGAGTTCATTTCCTTAGCTTGTGATCCAAAGAATGTAGTCTGTCTGACAGACCAGCAGTTTCAGGTGAAGCCTTTTCTTTCTTCAGCCAAATTTACTCTGAGATTTCAGAATTACCACTTGGAAATCGTTACCATTCTTGTATAAACTTTTTTTGTCCAAAGTATTTTTGACGTAAGAGTAATCAGCTGGTGTAAATGCAATTTTGATTCAACCTTCACTTTATGTGCAGTTGGAGCTGATGGCCCTTTCGTATGTGTATCACTGGTCAGGGCTGCTAGGAAGCAGTACTTCAGTTCGCAAGCAGCCAGCGTGCAGCTTCTTGTAATCTGACCCCGGTCACGAATGAGTCAGTGACCATTTGAATGAGGCGCTATTTAACTTTTGAATAGCTGTTTCGAGATGCTATTGTCACATCGGGAAGAAATACCTTAACGGGATAGACCTATCGTGATATGCTCCAAAACTTGCTTTTCACATCAACAATGCAAGCAGATTCACATGACTTCATTTTTCAACAAGATGGAGGACCGTCCCATTGGCACATGATGATTTTAAGCCTTTTGAAATGAAAAAGTGCCCCAGTGACTGATAGGTAGGAGAGGGGCCCAAGACAGTGCTCTCTGCCTGGCTTGCCTGATCCCCATACTTCTCTGCAAGTGTTTTGTTTTTTTTCTTCTGGGAATATGTAAAAGATTGTGTTATATTCCACCGCTACCCACTAACCTCAATGACCTTAAACTTTGAATAACAACAGCAATCAACCCATTTGACAGTGATATTATTAGGTTTTGAAACACATCTGAGATGAATTCTATTATCCCATTGATGCTGCCCTTGCTGCTGGTGGTGGTCAAATTGAACACTTTTAAGACAGGAAGTACAGTTCGATTTTGTTTGCAATACTTGTGACGTAGCTTGAGTTTTCTATTGCTTTTCCTTATTAAAATATTATGTCTTGAAATTGGTTCGTTATCTTTTAAATGACCTGTATTACAAACCTTTCTTTTGTGGAATTATTTGGCTAAATGTCTGATTGCAACCATTTGAGATGACAATAACAAATGAGGAATAAATAAATTGAAACAACTTATATTTTTTATTTGATTTTTAAAAAAATTTTAACGAAATTTACTCCTCACTACCTATTGCACTCTTATACAAACCTTTCTCCCCAACCTAATATAGTCGAACCTGCCATGAAGACCACCTGTACAAATAGCCACTTTTCATTTCCTCCCTTGCGTTTTTCTAAATAATTTAACTGTGTAAAACGAGCACCTGTTCCACGCGGCCGCAGCCACCCTATTTTATCAACCCACGACCAAATTTGCCTGCCTTACAAGGCCAGAGTTTGTAAAAAGATATGCATTTGGTCATGTTGCTTAGGTCGCTTCCAATGTTTATCCAAGTTGACCAATGGGTGACAATCAGATGCTGGTAAGAAAAGCGTATGATCCTTCAAAACCTGAATTGCATTTTCATTTTCAGGAATTTCAAAAAAGAATTGATGATGCCTTGACCCACATCATTGGCTCCACTGACAATCGCTCTACAGGCCCAGGTGAGAGAAAAATCTGTTCTCCACAAGTTTCATCTTGTATCCCCCATCCCAGGGCACCCCTTTGTGCATTTTGTGTTGGTCATAATTTCATTCTACAAGAATACCAAAATAACCAAGTGCACCTTGTGTTGTTTACACGAGAAACCCCTTTCCCATTGTTTCATCAAGCTTTTGGTAAACCAAACATGCTAAAAAGCTTTTTAATTCTGAACAAGTTAATTTTAATTCCATTGTTGACTTTTGAATATGTCTAGATTTGGAAAGTCCCTTCTCTATCTTTCTAGAAGATAGGGAAACAACTACACTTAGAATTGTCCAATTTGGCCATCGATTGTGGAGGAGAAAAGTGGTTGTCATAGACAGATGGTTATCTTGGACTGTGTCATTATAATGAATATATATATACGAGGGGGAAGTGAATGATTATACAGGTGTCTTGAACAGGTGGCTGGTACAGCAGGTTCCACTGTAATAATTTTGTTTTAGATGTAAGCTACCAGTTGAAGCATTTATTCACTGTCCAAGACACATTTTTTAGCATAAAGACAATGTTCTGAGCTAATTTGGGGTCGGTTATTCCAGACAGGGCATTAATTTAGCATATTACGTCGACTTTTTGCATTCTATGATAAGTGGTATTTTTCATGTTACGACAAAATTCAGGAGTTTTCAAACAGTATATATGTAGTTTGATTTAAAACTTCGCTTTAACTCTTTCAGTACGCATGGGATTCCACAATTTTACGCAGCTGATTTGAGGCGGCAAAGGGGTGTTATGTTAAAACTTCTCTCATTCGGTTAATAATTGATGGATTTGTTTGTGTTAGCACTCAAACTATTCGTAATTGGACATAGAATCACAATATGAGTGAAAATGGTTAGTAACTGTAGCACAAAGTAGGCAATAGAGGATAAAAGTAGTGAAAAGTGAGAAAAATAACCAAAAATGAGACTGAAATTTTCAACTCACCACAAAAATGCTCGTACAATCCATCGAATAGGCAGCAAAGAGTGAAATCTAATCAAAGTTTATCCATTTAGGAAGGTCCAGGCCAAATTTCAACTGTATAGCAGCAAAACTGTTCATTTCACAAGCAAATGAAAATTGTCACGAAAACAGACAAAAATGTATCCACAAAGTCCACATCCCTAACAAGTGTCACTGTCCCCCCCCCCCCCCGCCCCCAAGCCCTGTATTTACATCACAGGGCAAGATGATAGGCCTCAAAGCATGGGGTGGGATGCAAAAATGGCTGGTTTGGGCATCCCTTGCAGTAGAATGAGGTCCTTTTCCTGTTTGTTGGGGTGTTGCAATGTCGACAAACGCGTGTAAGGCTGGACTTCACTGCAAAATGATTGCTTTTCATTCCAGCCACAGGGTTGTTTGATGGAATGTGGCCTCTATCATCAGGCTGCTGCTGTTCAATGTCCTCCAGAAGGAGTGCTGCTGCATGAGAGCACATCTCTGAAATCAGATCATGCTTGAATTTCAATAGTGGCGTTTTCCTACCCTCGGCTTTCATGTGCAGAATGTGGGCATTCACTTGACTGACCTCAAAAATCAAAAAAAAGATTTTTTTCCACCATTTAGTGCTCTTCCTGGTGTACATGCCGTAGGTTTGGACAGCTTGATCAACCCTGTCGCACCCATTCATGTTGAAATTATACGCGTTTATCATCGATGGTTTTTCGACATCTTTTACTGTCACCGTGGCAACAGAAGAACTGTTGGAGACAGCAGCACAGGACTTTTTCGCTTTTTTATCTCTAAAAAGAACACAGAGAAGCTGCTTCTCTCTGTGCAGATACCACTGTATTTCCCTGTGAGCCAGTTTGGCTGTTTTGAGCTCAGCAGGGAAGCCTTTCCGGTTTGCGTTCACTGTGCCGGTGAAGTAAAACTGCTTTTCCCTCAGATGATTTAGGAGTTGCATACTGGTGTAGTATCTGTCAGCGTATATATGGTGGCCTTTGACGAGAGGGGACAGGAGTGTTTCAAAGACTCTCACAGATTGTTGTGCGTCTGCTGTCATGGGGTCGAAGGAAGTCTGTGCACCAAAGTAAATACGTAGGTTGATGACATAACCAGACTCGCTTTCGCAGAGACCGAAGGTCTTGACATGGTATTTACTTGGTTTGGTAGCGTTGTACTGCTTGTGAGCCCATCTTCCTTTCCAACCAATGACCATTTCATCCAAAGAAAGCTCTTGTGTTGGATAATATGCAGCCTGAAATTGCACCAGAAGTGAAGAAACGAACGGCTCAATTTTTGCTTTCCCTTGTGCGTCCAATTCACAGGCATGCAGCATCGTGTGAAAAATGTGCTGAAACCGGTCACGACGAAATATTTGCCGAAACCAGGGTGTTGCCATATGTGACAAGTCGGTGTTCCAGTAGTCAGAGACACTGGGCTTCTTTGTAATCCCCATTGCAATGATTACTGCAAAGAATTTGAAAAGTTCACCTGGTGTGATCTTACGCCACTTTTTGTATACGGAGCGCTCCGTTGCCGTTGCTGCTCTAGCCTCACATCTTTGATTTCCGTAATCGTTGATGTTTTTACATAGCTCTTCCACAATTTCATCAGTAAAATAGAGCCTGAAAAAATCAAGAGGCACCATTCCTCTGGTGTCAATATCTGGGTTGATCCCTGTGAATCGAGGGGCGAAACGAAAAGCGTTGTCAGCAGAACCCTCAGTCACTTTCTCCCACTCCGGAGCTAAAGGTCTCAACGGAGATCTTGATCTAGATCTAGATCTAGATCTAGATCTGGGCCTATTATTTCTGTTACTTTGCCCCTTCCCAATACCCTTTCCCTTGTTTCGAGGCCTGCTAGTAGACTGGCTTGACACAGGACCAGGTGTTGTCAAACAGTTAGTTCTAGAACTAGAGCAAGAACTAGATCTAGAAGAAGGGCCAGGCTGGTCATAGTCAGAATCGCTAGAGGATTCATTCCCACCACCATCAAGTTCGATGTCAGACACTTCACTACAGTCACTTTCTTCATCTAGTAAAGTTTGAAAAAACTGACTAGCTTGTTCAGCAGAAAGCCGCGTTGATCGAGGTCTTGATCCAGACATAATTGAGAGCTAGCACACAAGCCACGAAAATGTAAACAAATGTAGAAATAAATACTCTGCACAAAACAGCGTTCAAACTGCGTACTCGTAGCGGTACAAAGTGGCCGATAATGGGAAAAGACGCTATTTTTACCGCCTTTTAGAATCACTAAACTTGGACTGGAAAATGTTTCGTATTTCTTGTAGTTTTCGTGGCTTGAAATCGGTACCCCGCAAACGCCATTTAAGTGGCGTGCCGTAAAAGCGCGGAGCCACAAACGCCACTTAAGTGGCGTGCCGGATTCAAAGAGTTAATGAATCATAGTAACATGTCTCTTTTGTTTAACTTTTAACTGTGTGACTCTTCATCCAAAATAAGAAAAGGACCAATATTATTCAAATTTTGCCAATTTTTCTGTGCTATAAATGTAGTAAAACACGTCTATATATCTACATGTGCCTACAAAATATTTGCTCAACCACTATTCAATTTGACTTTGGCTTTTCAACATAAAAACTTGCAAAAGTATTAGTTTTCCTATAAAGACAGCTTTTCGTCGTAAAAACGGTGTTAGATGATTTTGTAAAAGAGGTGTACAAGCTTAGGGAAGAAAATCTAATTTTTCGCACAAATCAACTTCAAATCCCAGTTAGCTTAACTACTATCCAATTTGACTTTCTGTCTTTTCAACAAAAAGTCGCGCAAAAGTATTTCTCTTTTGCCTTTAAAGACAGCTTTTCGTTGTAAAAACAGTGTTTGGTGATTTTGTAAAAGAAGTGTACAAGTTTAGGGAAGAAAATCGAATTTTTCCCACAAATCGACTTCAAATCCCAGTTCTTTTAAGGAAGTTCTTATTTAGGCCTACAACCATAGACTTAACAGGATTTACTGCGTATAATCACAATTCACACAGAGAACCAGATTGCTTCCGGTGGAACCGCCATCTACTCCAACAACAACACACTTCACAGACAAGTACATCTTAGGACGACCCTCCAGGCTATTGCCGTACCGGTCACCCTGCACAGACCAATCACTATCTGCTCTTTTCTGTCCCACCAAATTACCCCCTCAAAATAACTCTACTAAATGATTTATAACTCCAGCTCCCAAAACCCTTAATTTTGCTAGGTGATTTTAATACCCACAGACCCCTTTGGGGAGAGAAACCCACAGACCAGAAAGGAAAAATAAAAGATTTTTAAATTTCATAATATCTGCCTCTTAAATGATAGGTTCCCCTCTTACAGAAACAGATCCACTTTTGGCACTTCATCCCTTGACCTCACCTTTTGTACCCCCTGACCTAGTCCAGATCTCGAGTGGTCTATGCAAGATGACCATACGGACCATTTCCCAATTCTTTTAAAAAACAATAGCCTCCAAAACGACCCGATCCCAGAACGCTTCAATTTTTTTAAAGCACACTGGGACGGGTTCGCCACTGAATGTTCCCAGATTTTGAATCCTACTTTCGACCTCAACTACAACAAATTCCATGAAACGCTTCTAGAAATATGTCACAAACACATACCAAAACATCCCCAAAACCCATGGAAGAATAAAATCTGGTTCTCTGGGGAGTGTGATGATGCTGTATTGAAAAAGAGGGCTGCATATGGGAGAGCCATCGACAATACTACAACAGAAAACAAAATTAATTATTTAAAAGCTTGAGCTGAGACACGTAGATGCCTCAGGGAGAGCAAAAGACAATCGTTCAGAAAGTAGGCTACATTTCCAAAATCAACTGTCGAACACCACTCAACCAAGTTTTCAAAATCGTGAAAAATGTTTTGGGTAGAAGCCGAGACACCATCTGGCATGAAACACAGGGAGACATCGCAAACACAATAGCTTCTTCTCTCTCCAAGAACTCATCCAAAGCAAACTACAACACCACTTTCCAAAACATCAAAACTAACAGAGAACAACAACACCTGAACTTCCACTCGAACAATACTGAAACCTAAAACGCAGACTTCACATTAGACGGACTAATAATGCTGGAGAAAAAAGAAACATCGTTTTTTGATGCATTTGAACTTGAACTTGAAGTGCCTGATGAGATGGTGGAGGATAAGACCTGGAAACTTAATTATGTGATCAGAGCTCTGTGTGGCATAGCACCCCTATGTTGGAGTTGGATGCCTATGCATCATGGTATCTTGTTACTGACTAAAACTGGTTTTGTGATTTAGCAATGTGGAAAAAAATCAATGCTTATGTCTACGATACAGTGATTGCCAGATTTTCAGCATCATTACATCCCACGCTCTCACAGTCCTCTCAGCCCCAGCTCTCGTTACATGATGCTCTCTCCACTGTCACTTTTTTGCTCTGCTGTGAGCCTAACTATAAAGTTTTTCTTTAAATAAGTTTTGTCTTACATGCTTATTAAAATCCATGAATGCTGAAACTCAAACATGGTGTTGACAGGCCCAGGTCAAGATTCATTTTTTTTAAAAACTTTTAGAGGAAAGCTAGTTAAAATTGTCTCTCATACGTAACAAGTCAGGACTTATCAGTGCCCTATGGGTACACAATTGAAAGTATGTTTTAGTATAGTTTCTCTTGGTACAGGCTATGGGTTTTGAAATAAATTTCACTGTCACCCTGCTCTTAATTTCACATTCAATACTGATTTAATAGGTGCCGTGAACGACAGTCCAAAATATGCCTTACACGCCCCACCCCCTCTTTTCAGAAACGCTGTTCACCTTCACTTATGCAATAACACATGTGAGGGTATGCGCTCCCTCCCACTCACCACTCTCTCTCTGTCTCTCTCTCGCTCTCTCTCTCTCTCTCTCTCTCTCTTTCTCTCTCTCTCTCTCTCTCTCTCTCTCTCTCGCGCGTGTGCGCGCGTACGCATGCACTCACACACACACACAAACACACTAACACATTTGGGGATAAATTAGCATTTTAGTGGCGGTGACGCAAATTAACTGGGGCAATTCCCTGATTAGTTATACATGTACATCATTAAAGAGATGAAGGTGGAAATGTACACATTTAACCTCCTTCAATCTTTGTACAGGAATGTCCTTGAGCAAGAGCAATCTGGACCTCCGAGGTGGCGTCCCATCGATGCTGCGCTTGGCGTCTTGTCCAGAGAAGAGTCGAATCAACCGTTCTTTTTCCACGCAGTCAGCCAACAGTGATTCTGTTGTTGGCTTGGGCCATCCACACTCCTCGTCTTCTGTGAGCTCCACTCCGTCTACCCTCGGCAGTTCTTTTTTTGGAGACCACCGTAAGTTAAAGAGAATTACTTAAGGATGAATTAGTTATGAAACTGATTTTGGGATTAGTCTAATGTGACATTTATCATGCCATCTTGCCATCTCGCTGACTGAACAGACTGGGATATCTCTGTGGTGGAATGAAAAAGACTTTTTTTCTGAATCTCACCTGAGAAATTGTGTACTTTGGATACTGCATGGGATTTTTAAAAGGCACTTTTTTTAATGTATGTGAATCAGTCTTTCTATATTCCAGTGTTTTGTATTTTCCTTTTCGGTCACAACTTCAGAGTTAATGGAAGAGGGTCAAATTTCCTTTGGTTTTGTTTCCAGACTGCAAGGGTTGGTCTTCAAAGGGTCTCTTGTTTTTGTTGGGTTTTTTTCTTCTCAGATGTTGAACACACTAATGCTTCTTAAAGATTTAATTACAATTTTCTTGTGTTCATTTCTTCATACTTGTTACAGGATTATTTCATGTGTACAAAATCAACTTTCCCCCCGCGGCAGTGCTACTGACTGAAGTGTCTCAAGACCATTCCCAAAGGGGGGACATTAACCATGTTCTTATGCACACATTTTCTTTCCTAATCTTTACTAGAGTCATTTTTCCTCTACTTCTTTTGTATGTTTGTCACACTCTTGTGACCCGCTATTTCCGGGGTGCCATGATAGTTGAAGCGGACTTTGTGCTGTTGAAGCTAGAGAGGTGAACAGAGTAAACCTGTTTCCCTGGAAGGACTTCTTTGTTGACATCCACCCCTTGGCGCTCATTTGACCGCATGCAGTTGCGAGTGCCGTAAAACCTCTACTAAAGAAACTAAAACTAAAAAATCAGCCATATGCGAAAATGTATTAGGCTACTTTCTCTGTTGTTTTTGCTTAGGCCTACTATTTCTTTGATTGCAGTAGAATATAGGTGATATTATGCTGTTAATATGAAACATTTTCTTTCTTTTAGATGAGTAATAGATATCTGTGTGCTTCTGGCTTCTGATTTTTGCCATTTGACAAAATGCTATTTGCAGTTTTAAGAAAGCTGTACAACGAGATCATTTTGACAGAAATGATACACCGGAAGTTTGTTGAAATGAGTGAGGGTCATGTGTAGACTGGTACAAAAATAACTGATTTGTGCAGTCCCATGATATCCTCTAAGATTTTTTATCTTAAAGCCTGAAGGACTGTAACTCAGAAGTAGTGATTCACTATCTCCTTTATCTCTTGAAGTCACAATGTTTTTAAGATTAAACTTTCTTAACTCTTTTCCTACCAGGCCAAAAGCCTCCACTGGCCCGGGGCTTTTCCCTGACCTACTTTTACCCCTTTACCCCACCAAAGGAGAATGTCAAAACGTCCAAGTAAATACACACAAACCATATACAGCCCTTCAAACTGATGGTACAAAAATAGTTTACCAGATGGTGATACAACATTGAATGTTTATTCCAATTATTTTAGTTTGGGGTGTCTAAAAGTGATTATGCAGTATCAGAAATGTCATATGAAGTCAACAATTTTTCCTTGCTTTGAAAGGTCATAACTAACAAAAAATACAACAACAGCATCATTCAAACTTCACAGTAGATTGCCTCAAGTAATGCAAAGAAATGCTGACAGTTATGTATGTGTACCTATTATAGCAGTAAAAATATGATACCGAAGTCAGCAGAGCACTTTTATTTTTATTTTTACATTTTGAAGGAGACCGGAATAAAGCGTTGAAATGACTGAAAATTGTTGAAAGCGTTGAAATGACTGAAAATTGTCCGTCAGTGCTATATTTTCTTTCATGTCCGTTAACAGGAAGTCTATTCTGTTATTTCGAAAATGTGGATCGGCGGAGAATTTTGTGTCTTTTCATAACTGGATTGGAATAGACAGTGAACCATTGAGCCGTATATTGCGGCTCGCTATCCAGTGAGGCCACTTTGTGGTAGGAAAAGTGTTAAAGGACAAATGGAAGCTTGCAATGAAGCAATTTTTAAAAAAATCATGTCTTGGGTGACTTGAATTAGCTTGATCAGCTTACAATTACAGCTTTTGTGGGTGTGTGTGTTCTTATAGTTGCTCTTTTGTCCTTGTTTTTTGACATGTCTCACTAATAATACATTTTCTTGTTGCTTCTACTAATGATAGCCATTTGCAGTTCTTGGCTTTTGTTGCATTTTGCAAAGAGATTTTTATCAGAGCTGTTTCTTTGTTGGCACTGATAGCAAGGGTTTCTGGATTACAGAATCTCTCTTGCACTGAGTAACAGCAGAAATTGTTGAAAAGAAAAGTTACCGTTTGTTATCAGGAAGTTTAATAGGGAAGTAGATTAAAAGTTTTTTCCCCTTTCTGACTTGCATCGACTAAATTTCATAATGACTCTTGTGTGGCTTTTGTAGGAAGCGATTTAGTTGCAGATACCAAGGCTTTGCTCTTTACACATTATCCCTTAGCCCTTATAAGTATCAGCGCATTTTCTTTTTGAAGCTGGGATGCCTATTCTCATCAGGGGAGCTCATGATTTTTCATGAGAAACTTGCATCTGTTTTGAATTAGTTGTAAGGACTGTTATTCTAAGAGAGGATGCGGATGTTTTTGGTCTCTTTCCTGACCCTGACTGATTCTCCTAGGAGGCAACCGCCACTCTATCCCTGAGCTTCCGGAAATTTCTGTAGTGGATTCGGACGATGGCAGAATTATCTTGGAGCTGCCGCAGTCTCGCAGGGGCTCCCGAGGTCAGCTGAGCACTGGTGCGCACTGGGACTGACTTGGGGTGGTGGTGTCTGACATACTAGCTAAGCTCTGAGCTTTGACTGTTTATCTTGTGCTTTGTTTTGTTCTCGGCATTTCGTCTTTTTTTTTTTTTTTTGGTCACACACCATTGTTGTACCCCTATTTGTATAGCTGGGTTATTTGACTTTTATTACTCTTAAAGTGCCACTCTAACTTCTCTCACCACATATGTTTATGCTTGTCGGTGTCAGTTAAGTTCTCTTGTCTAACACTTTATACAAGATTTTGTAAGAAAGGTTGTTGGTATTAATGGCGGCTGCCTTGGGTTTTGCCAAATCTTTGACACCATGTATTCATCTTCAGGATGTTTATCGTCACAAGTTTTTCATTATTACTGCATACAGGGATGCAAATCTTCCGGCTTTTTCCGTTTTTTCCGGCCGACATGCCATTTGGGCCCCAGCTTTAAACAAAAGTCTACTATAAACAATACACTAAATCGAGATTGTTTGTTGTAATAGAGGGAAAGAAACAAATATAATTCTTATTTCAGTCACTGCACGTGTAATTCTAATAGAAGAAGTACAAGTCGCCATGGATAAAATGAAATATGGCAAAGCGCCAGATTCCAGGCTCAGATATCATACTCATTGAAATGATCACAGCACTAGAAGTGGTGGGTATTAAAGAAGTGAGAACATTACTTAACACTGTATACGACAAGGATGTTTCTTATTTCCTCATCTCTTTAATTCATACAGCGAAATAATACTGCGTAACATCAGTGATGTAGGAGTCAAGGTAGGCAGCTACAATATTAACAACACATGGTACTCTGGTGATACTGTTTTGATAGCTGGCTCATACGACCTTATGCAGTTGCGAGCGCCGTAAAACCCTCTACTAAAACTTTAATAGCTGATTCTGAGTCTAAGCACCAAGAGATTCTATCTAGAGGGACAGAGAAAAGCAAAGAGAAGGGGCTTTTACTGAATAGCAAGAAAATGGAATGCATGATGATCTCAAAAAAGAGTTGACATCCCAGGATGCAACATCACATGACATGTAAGAACGAAAGAATAAAACAGCTCAACAGTTGTAAATACCTTGGTTGCACAATTACGCCAGATGCAGGAAGTGACAGGGAGATTTTAAGAAAGAGAATTGCAGTATCTTAAAAAAGCTTTCAGCAAAATTAAACCTATCCTTTTAAACAGAAACAACAGTGAACACAAAAATATGACCCTGAGAACATATCTATAGTCAATCCTTTTGATTTGTATGGATGCGAGAACTGGGCTCTAAACAAGAACACGGAAAGAAGACTAGAGGCTACCAGCCGCATTTTTTACCTTCCTACTTTTGCCTTCTTTGATATTCCTGCATGATGCCTTAGCTTTTAGTGTGGATGCAAAGAGACCAGAAAAAAGCTTATTATTTGTATTAGTTTTTTTAGTTGCCATTTTGCCTTGCTGATCTTCTTATTATTCTCGTTCTCTTTTGTGGCCACTGGTAGGGCTTGTTTTATTCTGTAGCCTTGCCTTAAGTGTCTCTGTGAGTTTCTCAACATTATCAGGATTAAAAGATTATTTTATTAATGTCGCAAGCATTCATGATTTCCTAAATCAAGGGTTAGTGTTTGGTTTGGCTGGTGTAAAGAGCTTTACTGATTGTTGTGTGATGATGGTGAAAACTCACAGATTTAGTGAACCTGCAAAATGGACTTGTCACATCTGAATACTCGTATATATATATATTACAAAATTCGTCTGCTGGTGTTGACAAAACTGAAAACAGTCGGACACTTTAGTATTTTGTGTTTGTGGACCGTTAGCACACGACCTTTTGCTCTGCAAGACAAATGATTTATTTGTTTTGAAGCTTGGTCCTTTCAGTGCAATAATAATGTATTATAAGACTGTAATTTGAGAGATTCATTGTTTAGAAGCTTAAAACTGATAGCACACCAAACTTTTGGTCTCAACCATTTCTCATGTGACATGAGTGAGCTAAGAAAGTTTTGGTTGATACTACCAGTGCGATGTGAAAGCTGTGCTATTGAGTACTTTTTCTTGAAGGATTTTTAAAAGTAAAACAGATTGGCCTCCTCGGTCTAATACATTTTATCTTAAAAAAAGAAGAGAAAAAAACGTTTCTAAACATAACCGAGAACGTTCCTACTCGAGCAACTGCACAACAGTATGACTTTTTAAATGTGTCCAAGCAGAGACATGAGTGACAAACCATGATCAGGGCATGCATGTTTACGGTGTGGCTCGAAGAAGGACTTAAATGATTTGCTGCAGCAAATAAGGCTTAACAGTATAACATGAATTGCTCGAATTCGTCCGGACCGGCCCCAGTAGTTCGAGGGATCCATAGTTTGAGGGATACGTGAACAGTGTAATGGCATCGGCTGTGTCAGAGAATCAAGGGAAGCAAAAAAGATTGGGTTGGAACAGATTTTTCTGTTTTTTCTTTTCTTTTTTTTGGGGGGGGGAGGCCATTGTCCTTGGATCAGATAGGTTCTATGCCTGTTGACTTGAATTTGAAATTTGAGAGAATTTGAAATTGACAGATTGAGATTGAGAAACACGTTGATCAACCATTTCGAGTTCGACCGGTAATGAGCCTACCGGTACCAAGACACTTTAATTGCACGGGTCAGTGTGAGCAGTGTTTGGTCTGCACCAATTGAACGGTGCCTTTTTCTAAATTTTCAAGACATAAACAATTTGACAAGATAAGCATCGCAACAGAAGTCAACAATGCAATGACGAAACAATTGCAGTCCTACCCCGCCTCTCCTACCAAGCGCACAGTCCTTTGGGAAGAGGTCTGGGGCGGCCGATCATGTGATGCACAACCCTTCCTCTGGCCCGCTCCACACAAGCCTAGCTAGGTCTGGGACCTAGGCATGCGCAGAGGGCTCGCATGTCGAGCAGTGTGCTAAAAATAGCACAGCTTGCTGCTTCTGTTAGGGGGGGATGGGGGGGGGGGTTATTTTACTAACCTTGCCTTTTTCCATATCATTATCATTATTTTGTGCACCTCAATGGACATTGACTTCAGACCTCTACGACGGTGTAATTAGTTTGACTATTCCGTGTTTGTGTTCAAGCTTCGCATAATTTTCCTACAAAGATAAAGAGGGGAAAAACGGGACCGCAGAGGCACAGTTCGACGGATGCATGATTTCGAGTAATCTGTGTTTGACCTATCCAGGTTATACCGGTACTGTATTTGTTTTTCTTGTGTCAATTTCAAGGCAGTTATTCCTTCTCTTTCTTCTGTGATGCATGTATATCTGCTGAGTATAAAGCACTACATGTTGAAGCACGATTAAGACCCAAAAGTATGAGGTGGTCTTGTGTTTTTCAAATAAGTTCAGGTTTTATGAGTATGGTGTCAATTTTTGCTGGGTTTTTTTTTAGATTGTATTTTGTCCATTGTATTTTGTCCAGCAGACTAGACTTTCTTGATACAGTGGGCAGTGATGAGATTATTATCAGATGTAAAACAACCTTGCTCTCAATAGGATAGATTTTCTGCCTCATATTTGCAATTGAAAAGCTTATTAGTGATTTTGGTGTTGAACACTGAGAGTGTGCCTTCTGCTCATTATACTGACTAGTGATGTGGCATTTTTTGTTCATGGTATATGCCATACAGAATTCAGAGTCCTTTGCACTGGCAAAGTACTCATTGTTTTTGTCAAAAATGTGTGGACCTGAAAATTTCTTGTAAGTCGTCAGAGGGGCCACTGGCAGGTCCTACTTGTGTTCTTTCCTTCTGTTGTTTCTGTCTGTCTGTCTTCCTTTTTCCTTGCACAAAATGGCCTTAATTATGTCAAGTGCTTATTTTACTCAAATGAACAAAGATAAAGCATTTTTCTTTCGTTCTTAACCAAATCAGAATGTTCCTAAATTCAGTAGTATATTAAAATAGTTGGTCATTCAACCATGAAAGTTGTGACTCACAAAAAATAGATTCACCCTCAGAAACATCTCTTTTTATCCACACCTCTTTTTATACTCTTCATGTGAAACCAAGTGTTGTTTTAATAGCTCTCACATCTAATATTTTTGGGTTTTGCTCCTAATTGACTCTACCTGGCTTCCTACCCGGACATAATGGGAAGTCCAAGAAGATGGACTGTTTTATTTTGGTCCTTTGTAATGTTGTAGCCACACCCCATGAGTAGTGCATGCTTCGTAGTTGTTTACCATGACTGGATGTACTGTTTGTTGGTCCTTACACAACAGAGGGGCCACATTTCTAGATGTTTCTGGAGTCCCAGAAATATTGGATGTTTCAATTTTTGTTGTTATTGTTCGTATGATGGTGTAAGTCATGTTATTGAAGCACTTACTGTTTATTGTTTGAAAGGACCAGTCACAATCATGGTGAAGACAACTTAGGGGTTGGTGCTTTGTTGTAATTTTGATCTTGTAAATCACTCCACCTCATGGTGAATTGTGTTTGAGTTATTTCTAAAATTAGGTTGCTTAAATTTGTACTTCGCCAAGAACGATCTCAGTCCAGTCAATTGCCTGTGACTTCATAGAGGGCAGAAGTCTACTAAATTATGAAGTTACCTGCGTGCCTTTGAGTCCAGCCAGCAGATAATGAAATAATGATTCTTGCTCTTCAGTATTCGCTATGCTTTACAGCAGACCCTAGAACACTCAGAAACATTGTCGGCTATCCAGGAAACATACTGATACTGTACAAAATTATTTTCTGGAAGATGTAGAAGAGTCAAGATGAATTAGTGTGATGAAGATGTTTCCCAAACTTTGAATAAACGACATACACATGTTTCTTTCTTATTTAGAATTGTCTTATTATGATTTACCTAAATTGTGTGACATCTGCTTTTAGATTAGATGGGACCCTCGGCAGCCCCTTGTATTCCAGCACTAGTTAAATTTTTTTTGTAGCAATTTTCCATGACTTATTTAACCCTATCCGTACGCCCTGGGGTCGTTTTGTACCCCCGGGGTTGTATTCTTCACATTTTAGAATACTTTTAGTACAAAGATCTCTTTGAAACTTTCAGTATTTCTCAAAAAATCATTTTGACAGACTGCTATGCAAAGCGTACGGATCGGATTAACAAGTAAATTTCCTCTTTGGAAAGTAGTGGCACAGAGTTCCCCACGTCGTATGGATACAATAGTGAAACAGGATGTACAGATAGGGTTAACCATGATGTAGTGGATACTGGAAATGATGATAAAGTTAACGCTTCAAAGATCTCCTTAGAAAAATGGAAGTTGCTATTTAATTTTTTATGTTTGTCCTTAAAAGGAGGGTTTACTTTGAATAGTGCAACAAAAAGATTTCAGTGACGAGAAAGATGAGTTAATGATATGATAGTCACAATTGAAGTGGTACATCTTTATTTGAAAAAAAAAAAAATGATGGACCACAGCCTTTAACTTGTTGACTCAGTTCTTTTGTATGCTTCTTTGTCTTACACACAGTCTTTTCTACATTCATTTGTTCCAGCCCTAAGTGGAGATGTGTACAGGTCAAAGCCTCGCACGGAACGCCTTCGCATCAGTATTGAGAAGTTGGAGGCGGACCGTGAGCAGAAGTTGAGGACAAAGCGCATCATTGGCAATGTGTCTGGTCGTGTCCATGAGCCGGACATTCGTATGAATGTAAGACGTGTCAATTTTAGATGGCAACGAGGCTTCAAAATAGGTAAGTAGACTTTCCACATGTTCAGTTAGTTGATACGTTACTTGTCTAATATTGCTTTTTTTTTCTTTTTTTTTTTCAAGATTTTTTGTTTGCTTAATTTTTCTTCTTCGTGATTTTAAAAATTGCCTTTTGTCTTGTTTTTTAATGTTGTGGCATTTAATTTAAGGTCTCAGTCGGCAGTGTTCTAATATTATTCTCCTCTTTTTCAAAATTCATAAAAAGATTGTGGTCCTCTTATGGTTGGTTCAGCAGTAGAGCTGTCTAAAAGCTACCAACTTTTACGGTAATTACTGATTTTTGACCAATTCTACTGCCATAGAAACACTGGTGTCAAAATTTTGAATTTGTAGTAGGTGCAGAGAATAAAAAGAAATTTTTAAAGGGCCCTTTCTGCAGTGCTTCTAATCTTCCGTTTTTTTAAATGTCATTGTAATTTTCCGCATTGAAATTTTCAAAATTCTGCGCAGAATTTTACAAATTCTGTAAGGATTGCGACCGTATCTAACCCTTTTCCATATTGCTGTAAATAAGTTCCAATTAATCATAAGCTGAGAAGTAGCACACAGTAAATAAAAAAATCCCAACAATTAGCAGCATACAATCTGTATTTTTGTTTTGAAACAACTCATAGAGACAAGACACCATTGTATAATTTGAAAATCAGGTGAGCTGGCAGTTTGAGCTATTTCATTACATTTGTAGCAGGCGCGGTTCATCCATAGATGATAATAGAGCACGGTCGTGCAGTGCCGCCCAATTTTTTTTGGCTCCAAATTTTTTAATGTTCTGATATGTTAAGTAGCCACAAACATAAAATAAAAAAAGCCAGGAACAAACACTGGCCAGATATATCAAAACAAGGTCCTCACTGGCGTCGTAACTGTCATTTCTGTGTCTATAGCACCGTAAAACATGCTTTAACTAAACAAAATGGGATATTCAACAGTGATAACCTGAGCCAACCAAAGCGATGACGACACTCGTAGCGAGTTTGGCGGTACATTAATATTAATAAGACGGCACCCACGAAACATAGCTCGTAGTAGGCAGTATAAAAATAAACATGATAAACTGTAGACTATTCTATGCCGAAATTATGTGAGCAGAGTGCTCAAGTGAATTGTGATTGGTTCATTGTCATGCCACTATTTTAAGTGACTCTGTGACCGTAAACGTAAGGGATGTGAACATGACATACTTAAGTCACCGTCCTATGACCTTTGAATGGTTTTGTAGTGGAGTGGTGAAAGTTATTATTTGAGAGTTCAGTTCCAATGCAGGATGAACAAAAAGCTAACAAACAGATTTATTTCTTGAAACCAAAGGGACAAGTAAAGAGAATGAAAATAAAGGCGAACGGTCCTTCCCCAACCCCTTTGTCACGCCTTTGTTTATGTTACATTTATACTTTTTTGACTTCAACTCCTATCCTTGACATACCTGGGAAAAGAATTATCCATTGCCATATTATGAATTTTAAAGCCAGAGTACTAATTCTTTATTCGTTGATTACTAAAACATATGCTAGTGGGTAGGCAGCCCTGCGTTCACCTTCCCTTATGGGACCCCCCCCCCCACCCCCACCCCCATACACACATATGCACGCGCTCTCACACACATACGCACAGCATGCACAGCTTCTTTGAAAAAGATCTATCATTTGTTCTGGTTACAAGTTTACTCCCATCGCAGGTTTACTTGATGTTAAAATGTACTCATGTTGTGTTTATTCTTCCATTGCACAAATGGTTTTCCAGTAATTATATTTTTCAATAACACAGGGGGTTTTTTCTTCAGTAATTTGAACGTAAAAATGAGCACTTACTATTTGTGGTACATCTTATAACCTGTGATAGGATAGGTAATGACACACGGCTCCATTGAGACAGAGATCACAAAAACAAAAGAAAAAAAAGTTGCGAGTTTCAAGACAATACTAGAATGAGACTAATTTTTCTCTGCACTTAAAATTGTAGCTGTACTAGTGTGGAATGAGCAGGCTGTATATTTCACCAAAGTTTCTGATGTCTTTTGTACCTATCTCCTTGTGTGTCCCAGGTGAAGGCCAGTTTGGAAAAGTGTACACTGCAGTCAACATGATCACTGGAGAATTAATGGCCATGAAGGAGGTAAGTGGAGATTGCCTTTTTTTTTTTTTCACCCCCTGAAATCACAGAAATCTGCTCCCACCAGCCTTTATCATGCTGGGAGATCTTTATGCGTATACCCCTCTTTTGGGAAATGAAGCTACTGGTCTTAAAGACAGAATCATTGAAGATCAAAACAAACAGTAGTATTTTATATGACAAGTCTCCAACGTTTCAAAATTCAAATGACTTGAATAGTTGATTGATTTTAGCCCCTTCAGATCTGGTCTTAGATCACCCCCATGGATTGGATCACTCCCTATATTGGTCCAAACATTCCGTACTGAGTTTCTATCCTAGACTCTTCAATCTCAATAAAGCAGACTATGATCATTTCCACATAAAATGTCTTTAGAGGCTCAAGATATCTCAAACACATAATATAAATCAGTATCTTGAAATCATTTTTGAAATTTTACCAAAAAACCCCCACAAAAACCAACCACCCGACCTGGGTACAATAAATTATAAATGTTGGTTCATTGAAGACTGCCAAAAAGCTGTTGCAGCCAAAAAAGCAACTTCAGTAAGTTTGTTGACTCTAGAACAAATGAAGACCTTATTAATCTTTTAATTGCACAAGCCTAAGCATGCAGGATGATCGGAACAGCCAAACACACTTCTTTAAAAAGTTCCATCTCTGAAAATATGACAAAACACTAATGCACAAAGTCTGGAAGATCGTTTTAAAGAATATAAAAGGTACTCAGAGCAGAGACACACCCAGATACATTTTAACCCTTTGAGCCCTTGCCGCTGGTAGACTGGTGGCACGTGAGACTGCCTGTATGCCTAGCCACCGGTACACCCTATCCCCAACCCGGCCAGCCGGGGACAAAACGCACACCGAAAACTGTGTTTACCGCGCAGGATGTTATGAATTATTTTTAAGGTCGTTCTGAATTAGATGCTGGTAATGACGAGACCTTCCTTGAGATGGATATATTTCATTTTGATGATCTTATGGATATTAGTAATATATCGCTGAGGAGCTCAGGCAGGGGGTCACAGTAGCCTCAGGAGGTCATGGCTCAAAGGGTTAAAATCAAATAACTTATTTGTAGAGACAGAGGAAATAGTAGCATCAACTTATTCTGGGGAATCGTCCACTTAAAATTACCAACCAGAATTCTACAAAATAAAAATTTAAATGTCTCAAAGTGATGGAACCAGGTGCTCGTAATTTTTTGGGCATGTGGAGTTCTTGGCATCACATTAACAATTCTTCATTTGTCTTGCTTTCAATTTTAAAAATACCGATCTATCTTGAATAGAAGTTAAGATGTTTGCGATTGGGGGAGGTAGGGGTTGCCTAGTTTCAGAGGTAAAATTAGCGAGAAAATGTCTGCCTAAGTTTGATGACTTTTCCTTGGAAACTGAAAATTTACGATTTTTGTGCCTTTACGTTTTTCAGTAAAATACACACAGAAATTTATTTTTTTTTTCTTTTAATGGACATGAAAGGTGTTGAGCCAAAAAACAAAAATTCAATTTAAAAAAGTGCCAAAGCAGCAGGAAAATGCCAGTTTCTTTAAATGTATTCTTTCCTTACAAGTGTCTAAAAAGACAACAGTTGATTTTTCTTCTTCAAATGAAGAGGCCTATAATTGCAGATTTTCCCTCGTAGAACTAAAAACAAGCATTTCAGCTTCAGGCCCCAATGCATGGTGTTCAGCCAAATCAGAGTGTGGGGAAAAAAGTCGGATTTGTGGGGATTGGTCGGAAAAGTTGGATTTTGGTTGGAAGAGAGTACGCAATGTCGGAAAAAGCTGGGTACACTGCCCCTCGAGTAGTACCGTGCCGTTGGTGCTAGAGCGAGGGTGGTTTTCCAATGACGTCTCTGTCTCCTTCCGATGAAAGAAACACTTTCAGGGCGGTATTGCTGTTTTAAAAGAAAATTCCCCCTCCCTCCGTACCTCTCATCCTCTCTTGTCACTTTGATGTTGCATCAGCGTGCCGTGTGTTTGCTGCAGCACAGTAAGGGGCTGTTCAAATATAATCTTACACCTTTTTGGGGACTTTTTGCCCCCCCCCCCCCCCCTTTCTTACACTTTTCTTACATTTGCCCTTAAAAACCCCCCCCCCCCCCCCCCCCGCTTAAATTCCATTCTTACACATTTCTTACATTTGCCCTAAACACCCCTCCTCCCCCTCCGTAATATTACACTGTTCGCTTATAATGATAAAAATGATATGACATTTGTATCGCGCAAATCCGTAAAACATGAATTTCTCTATGCGCATTGCATAATATTCATGAAAAACATGCATACACAATACATGCACATAATAATAATATAGTGCACTAAAAAATAATAGGTGTCAGGACGTGGTGGGATCAAGCACTCGTCAGTTTTGATTTTGAGGCGTACAGTTTATTGATATCATCTGAAAGCCTGTCCATTTGCCTTCCTTTTGATGGAAACAATATTCATCTATGCTGAATAGAAGTAGAAGTCAAAATATTTGTGATTGAAAATTGAAGGAGGTGGGGTCACCTGATTTCAGAGCTAAATTTAGTGAGAAAACGGCCGCCAAAGTTTGATCACTTCTATAGCTTGAGAGCCTTTAAAACTGAAAAATCGCAAATTTTGTTAAAACTGAAAAATCAAAAAATTTTGTGCATGTAATGAGCGTTTTTCTGTATGGACGTAAAAGGTGTTTAGCGCGGAAAAAAAAATTCAATATAAGTTCCCAAAACTGCGGGAAAATGACAGTTTTTTCACCTTCTTTATTTTGACGAGCGCCTGATTTCACCACGCTGCCTCACAATTAAGAGTAAATCATTCAAGGAAAATATACACACTCTTTCTTACTAATGAAAAGAAAAAAATTGAGACTCATGTCTATGACAAAAGCGCTTTAATTAAAAAAACAAAAACAAGTTACAGTGGAATTCTGATAAAGTCAACACCCCGGACAGAAAAAAAGTGTTGACTTTGAGCAAGGTTGACTTTATCCTTTGTACTAGATCTACATGTACTGGCCATTGAAAATTGAAGACGACAGCTACAAAATTACAAAGTACCTGGTAATAAACAAGATGTAATCTTAATTTCAGGGAGTTTAATTCTGAAGTTGTCACCAAAACAAGAGATAATGAAAGAACAAAGTAGCCTACATATGTAATTGGAGGTGTGTACACCACTTGCTCAGGCGAAATATCTCTTCTTGAATGAATTCATCTTGGATTTAGCCCCAAATTGTTGACTTTACACAAGGTAAACACTCAAACGGTTGACTGTATCAGAAACACAATTACTTAAACAAAGAAGGTAAGAAACGGGACTACAGTGAGGTGTTGACTGTAAGCAAGAGTTGACTTTAAAAGCAAGTTGACTTTATCAGGATTCCACTGTATCTCTGTTATTACTGATCATTTATGCTGGGGAAAAAAGTGAAATTAGTTATCATCAATAAAGGCAGTGTTCATCATTACATGTATATCAAAAATATTTTTTCACCTCACCGAAGTGTAATATTACATTAGTTCAAGACCCTCCCCCCCAGGCGTAAGATTATATTTGAACGGTCCCTAAGAAGGTTGGGGGGAGGACGGTGGGGAAAGTTGCTTGGGTTTTTATTTCATTAGATAGAAGCCATTGATATCAAGGCTTGGGTTAGTCAGTTAATTAGTCAGCAGTGATGATGATGAGTGAATGAGTGACCTGGAACTCGATCGTTGAAATGACCTACATCGTCTCTAGCTGGACATGATGCTTCATCAACATCACTTACTGAAATACTGTTATTATTGCCATTACTCGTTGTGGTTAAATAACTATATTTGCCTTCTCTCTCTGAAAGCCTTGCTTTTGTTTGCGTGTGTTTGTGCAGATGAAGTTCCAGCCCAATGACCAGCAGTGGCTCAAGGAAACCTGTGATGAGATCAAAAACTTTGAGGGCATCAACCACAAGAACTTGGTCAAGTACTATGGTGTGGAGGTGCACAAGGTAAGTTGCTCCCCCCCCTCTCCCCCATATATCTGTGTGTGTGTGTGTGTATGAAATAAGCGGTACAGCTGGGCCACTGACATGAGGAAACTTTTATATGTACAATAGATATTGGATCTGCATGGTTGTTTCAAAATATTGGTGATAGAATATTTTCCTATCCCAAGTCAAGGAAAGACTGTTAAATATTAGTCTCTCACCATCTCTGCAAGAGGTAGAAGGGTCCTGGCATTACTCTGAACCGTCAGTTTGTCGCAAAAAAATAATCGGTTAGGTACTGTCGACAACATTTCTTACCACTAGTGTAATGCAAAGTAGGCTACTTTGAGAATGAATTCCATGTTTTGTTCAGATGCTCACAATACAATGACATGCGAGAACAACTCTTACCAGAGAGCGTTAGACTTCAAACACCTGAGGGAGCCTATGTCTAAGCTCAATGGTATATTAGTCTGTTCTGACGAAGTCCACTTTAAAAACATAATCGCATTCCTAAATTAGGCTATGTTGTACGAACACGTCTTTGGGAAAAAAAATAATAATCGGTTAGGTACTGTCGACATTTGTTACCACCAGTGTAATGCAAAGTACTTTGAGAATGAATTCCATGTTTTGTTCAGATGCTCACAATACAATGACATGCGAGAACAACTCTTACCAGAGAGCGTTAGACTTCAAACACCCGAGGGAGCCTATGTCTAAGCTCAATGGTATATTAGTCTGTTCTGACGAAGTCCACTTTAAAAACATAATCGCATTCCTAAATTAGGCTATGTTGTACGAACACGTCTTGGGAAAAAAAAGGTATTCATTTTGTATTTACTACAACATATAGGCCTACTTTGTTATATGGTATGAAAATGACAATGTTATAATCTTTATTCAAATCTCGGGGTGAAATTTGTCTTTGTCTCTCTCACTGCTTCATTTGTTACATTGTGTGCTTTGTTGGTATGAACGCATTTCTATTTCTGTCCGTTTTTCATCATCATTGCCTTTCTCACTCACAAACTCACACATACACCCCCCAGGATGAGATGCTGATGTTTATGGAGTACTGCGACTCTGGCTCTATCGAGGAGGTGGCACGCATCGGTCTGCCTGAGTACATGATCCGTCGCTACACTAAGGAGATAGTACTGGCTGTGGCTCACCTCCATGAGAATAATATAGTCCACAGGGACATAAAAGGTACTGCTGTGTGTTAGAAATCCGTGTGTAGTTTGTTAATGCGTGTTATTGAGTGCTGGATATTTTTTCACTCGAGAATTGAACTCACATCTTCTGCATTTAACTCTGAAATGCCTACCACGGTTTCTCTTTTCACCCGATTCTGTGACTTTTAGGCCCTTACGATTTTCCCATTGTTGCTTGGGAAGCTCACATTTTTGTGAACGTTTGAAACGATCTAACTTCTTCCCCATCCGACACAGTAAACCCATACACTGATGAACTAAAAGCTCGATGTCTTGAGATTTTTTCTGCGTTAAAATGGTTAATTTCTGTGCCTTATATATTGCTCTAGACAAGTGTTTGTAGAATACCCAATTTGTCCTATTTTTAGTGACATACTTATGAATAAATGATTGTTTATTTAAAAACAGCTCGATAGATCTCTCCAAAATCACTGTTAAACTGATTACAAATATCATGTCTTTTCCCATGAGAAATTTTTAATCTTCGCTGGTAGTAATAGTCAAGTTATAAGAGAAGAAAGATGCACATCTGCATATTTCGACAAAACACACACAGCGTTACATTGTCCATTCTTAAATGAGTCTCAAGAGCAGAAATGCGTGCTTTGAGTGCATTACATGATAATTACCATTAATTCATAAATACACCAAAAGCTTTAAGCTGAAAAACACCAAAAATTGATTCAGCCCAGACAGAGCAGCGACTGTGATCCTTCCCCAGTGATCCCGACATAAGGCGCTGAGTGGGGAACCCCTCTCTGCAACGAAAATTCTGCTGATAGTGCGGCGTGCTAACAATGTGCATTAGAGTGTTTTTGGTTGCTTTGATGTGGTTTGAAGCTACTACTTCTCAGAGTTGTTAGTATTTTGCTCTGTTAATACTAAAATAAGGTTACCACACAAGTTTGCTTTAAGTTGCAATTAATTATATTGACACCAGTGAAGTGAGGAAAAGTTGTGCAGTGTCTTTCCCCAAACAACATGTTGTTAATCATGATAATATTTTTTCTTTTCCAGGTGCCAACATCTTTCTGACATCTCAGGGTCATGTCAAATTAGGCGACTTTGGCTGCTCTGTTAAATTGAAGAACCAGCAAACAATGCCTGGAGAGAACGTGAATTTAGTTGGAACAACAGGTATCTTGTCCAACTTTTTTATATCACTGTTTTTGCGCATTTTCTTACTATTACCTTAACACATTACACCCTGGGGGTCTGGACGGGAAGTCCATTGATAGATCCTAAGCAAGGGGAAGGAACCCACCTCCCTTGAATACAAGCCTTTAAAAAACACATTTTAAAAATACTAAACAAATTCCAAAAATCCTGAAAAAATAAAAGTTAAAAAGAAAACTGAATGTAGTTTCAGAAAAATATAACTTTATGTATGCGCAAACTGTTGGAAATGTTCTAACTTTATTTCAATCGGGGTGTCCGACCAGTCACTCTCACTCTCAGCCTCGCGGTCGGGCCCTAGATTCTAGATCTAAATTCTAGATTTTCTCCGTCTGATCAATCGGAATCGCCCCAAACTCTTCCTACAACGTTTTCATCCAAATCTGAGTCATCTGATTTGTCACATGCTCGTTTTTGCTCAAATCCATCGTTATTTCCGTTTTCGAACTCAATCGTGTCGCTTTTCAACAAGTCGAGACACTTTCGAAGTGTCGGTAACGCGATCACACTTCGATCAGCTCTAATACTAAAATTACTGGCCCGAAAAATTTCGTTTCGGTATCAAACGAAAGAAGAAACTTTTTGCTATACTATGCAAATCAAAATCCCGGCCCCAGAGTCTCGTCAAGGCGAGACTTTCGTTTCTAAAGACGCTGGGTCGGCGCGGGCGGTTCCGGGCGAGTCAGGGTGGAGCGCGTAAGGGAATTCCCGGGCGAGTTAGGGTGTAATGTGTTAACTGTGACAGAGAGCTGCACAATGAAATTTTCCACCCACTGAAGCTGCAAGGGTCAGCTGCCTTGGCTTACTGTAGGTAAAGAACTTGATCTCCCATGAGGAAGTTCGAGGTTGAGAGTTTGGAAAATGGTCTGAGTCATGCTTCCAAGAATGTATCCTCTAGCCCTAGTGGCTCCTCTTTGAAGTCATAGTTTGTAGTAAGGTATTAAACTTAAATTTCTAGAGCTGTGGAAAGCATTCAGGCATTACTGTTTAAGTACAATATGTAACTGTAAAGGATTGTTAAAGCTATGAACCTGTATCAAGTATTTTGAACATGTCCACTTCTTTCACTTCATGACTGCACTCACATGGGAGAAAAGAGGTAGATTTTAGATGCAAAAAATTGCAAGATGTTTTCCGTCGTTAATCCCAACAGAATCTTTGATTTTATCAAGGGCATCGGCTTTTATGGAAAATTGTAAATTGCATGGTTTAGATTTTTAAATATTATTTAAAAAGTTATTCAAATTAAGAATTTATTGACACCAAATTTTTAGCATTTTAGTAGAGGTGTTGACCAGAATCAGGCTGTGCAGTGGACTGTTGCGAATAGAACCAACTTGCTTTTCACGCACTCATATGACCTTATGCAGTTGCGAGCGCCGTAAAACTCTTAATAAAACAAAAAGAGTGAGTTTCAGGAAAGCAAGGGGCTATAACGAGAATCTGGGCAGGCTTGGTCAGGGAAATCAGCTTCTACTTTTGCTTTCTTTACCACCCAGAAATCTCTGATGACAGCCTGATAGATGTAACAGTTTTGACATGCAGATTATCAATATTTATTCTCTCACTATGCCTGGAAGGGTTGCTAGGGGATTTATCAGAGGAAATTTCACATTATGTGTGCCAGAGTGTATTTTCAAGACTGCTAGAGTTTCAGCATCACAACATCTCGCTTTCTCCCTCCCTCAGTCCTTCTGGTTATCTCATGTCTTGTTTCTGTACCTATAAAATATTCATTCTATGTTTGGAATATCATTATATATGACTACTCTGACAATGGGGGGGGAGGGGTCTTTCTTGCCAAAGGCTAACTTCTCTTTCAAAAGTGAAATTTCAAGTCCTTTCTAGTGTGATGGCTGCCCAAGTCCTGTGACTACATTGACACTAATATTACGTAAAAGTATTGTCTGTACACTTCTGAACATTATCTGAAAATTTGATTGCACTTTTGTTCTTTCCAAGTTATGTTGAGATTTTTGTGACTACCTGTTTTACCTTTGGGGGGGGGGGGGGGGGGGGTGTAAGTTGGGGGGTTTTTTTTGACTATATGAACTGTGTGGATGGAAAATGCTAAGGCCTAGATATAATATGTTCAAGATCTGTGAACATGATTTGATAGATGAAATGTATATATTTGATTTGGAAGGGGTTGAACTGAAATATAGAAAACATGATTTGTTTTATTTCTCAAGAGGCAATACCCTCGTGCAACAGAATATCCTTATCCATAGAAATTCCTTTTTTTTTTACTTTCAGCGTACATGGCCCCTGAAGTGATCACACAGAGTGTACCAGAGGGCTATGGCCGGGCAGCTGACATCTGGTCTCTTGGTTGTGTTGTTATAGAGATGGCCACAGGAAAGGTAATGGACCTGTGTGGGGAAACTTGGGTTGAGAGGGATACAGTATCCCTGCAGCCAGAGATTTAAAATATAATGATGTCCAGGACAACAACTTTTCTCCTCAACAATGAGTGGCCATCTTGGACAGTTTTTAGTGTGCATTTTATTATCTAAATTGTGTCAAAGAGGCCATAAAATGATTCTGTCTGTCGCACTTCTCTTGCGTTGCTAATTCCTCTCTGTCTCCATCATGGTTCCACAGCGGCCATGGCATGAGCTGGAGCATAACCTGCAGGTGATGTTCAAGGTGGGCACCGGCCACAGCCCGCCCATCCCAGAGTGCCTCAGCCGGGAAGGCAAGAATTTCCTGTCCTGCTGCCTGGTGCATGACCCTGCTGGTCGCTTAACGGCTGCCCAGCTGTTGGACCACATGTTTGTTAAGGTTTGTTGTTAGGCTTATGTTTAGGAAGAGTATGCTGTAATCTCTCCAATACGTTGTGAGCATCCCGTGACATAGCTCCTACCGTCCCATTTTCTCAGTGAATGTCCCGGTATGACATGCGTTGTCCCGATGTCCCGACTGCGTCAGAAAAAAATCCAGGCAGCGAACAAAATTGACCGCACGCCAGGTTTGAAAATGTCACTGTGAACGTGTAACATGAATATTGCCATTTTGGATTGTCTTGAATGAAAACACGTGACTAGGCCCCCCAGCCGAGCCGACAACAAGGCGTCTTTCTGCCGTTCGGAGTTAGATCTAAGTCTAAATTTTGTACTTGGAAGTGAAAATAAAGGGATCATGTGATAGTCCTAACGAGGATGAGGAGAAAAATGAGAAGAGGTTGTGGAAATTTCGAGCGTAGTTTACTCAGATGTGGCCGTGTATAAAAACTGGTGCTTTTTCGGTAGTTCCCACCCCCTCAGTTATTATTCGCCTATTTTCCTGTTTCGGGAATATAATCGAGTTAAAGCTTTATTGATGTTGGCCTAGATCGAATATTTGAAGAGATTTTGCGCGCTCATGTGACCTTATGCAGTTGCGAGTGCTGTAAAACTCTGACTAAAAAACTCTTACTAAAACTAAAAACAGCTAAGATTCTTTGATTTCTGACAATTTTGTGAAGCCTGATTTTTTAAGGTCAGTTTTGAGTGACCATATCTCGGGCGTCTCTTAACATAGATGAAATATTAATGTGTCAGATAATGTAGAATTTATTCAGCTCTAAATTTGTATGCTGCATGAGTGGGTAGTACAAGGCTTTAACTCACTTCAGACGGCTCACACAACAGTTGCGTGACCCCTGCCGCGATGCTCGCGACGGGTCTCACAAGCCCTGGGTGACCAACTTTGGAATTTTTTTTCCGCTCAATAAATCACGCATGGATCGCGAGACCCGCCTCGTACCCTTGTTTGGCCAAGCCTGAGCTACTTAGACTTTGTTTCGTATCTCTGGGGCCGGTAGTTTTTAAGTTATTGAAGGTGAAGGACAGTGACCCCAACTGGGGTTGAACAGACCGGAACTCGCGCTTTGTTTTTTTTCTGTACAGCTGATAGTAATCCGACAGTCGCGTCATAGTAACGGTCGAAGAAGTCGCATGAACAAGAATCACATAATTTCGCCGTTTTCTATACTTCTGTACGTTTTACTAGTTCTAGTGTCTCAGAATATGATGTGTCTAATAGTTAGGATCCTGGATATGGACCCGAACACGGCCCGAGTCGTAATTCTAGGGCTAGATCTAGCACTTGTACCGGTGTTGTTTTTCGCGCAACGAAATCACAACGTCGTGCCGTACATCTGTCTCATGTAATTCAGTGTATGGGTCTGAATCAATGCACAGACCAGCTTTTATATTTTCACCAAACACTCGCACATGTATACAAATCAAACCAGAACACTTTGAACTTTTATTTTTGTTGTTGCAGTGAATTTCATTCTACTTGTCACGTCTCTGGAAATTTTTCGGAAAATCAGATTCATGCCAATTTTTAAAAAATCATACAAATTAAAGTATTAGACTTAGACAACTTTAGTTTTTTGTATTAGATTAAGCTTGAATGTTACTTTACTGTGTCAAAAAATAATTACAATAGGGTAATTCTGAGAGTTGTGGTGATTTATTGAAATACCCCCAAAAACGTCAGTCTTCAACGCTTGTGACTGGTGAAAGGGCCCAGTCGCAAGTGAGTTAACATGATGATTGAGTGATTACATTTTCAAGTTTTTTTGGACGCCACTGTATAACCTTTTTGTGATGCAATTGTTGGGGTTTTTTTCCCTTACCCATTTCTATGAGATTGACGCCATCTGATTAGTAGAAAAAGGTGCATATGATAGGGTCCATCGGGTCTCTCCAGTGTCTCTCAAAAAGAGACCAAGTCATTTTTACCCGATTACGCATCAGACACACGACCCTGACACATATATACCTTTTTTAGGGAGATGAGAAGCTGTTCTGTGTCGGATGCGAACCTGATTTTACCATTACACATTTTAACAGAATGTCGAGACTTTGGAGAGACCCGAAGGAAATGTTTTGCGTGCAAAAAATTGCAAGATCTCTGTTTTCCGTCAGTGGTCCTAACGAAATCCTTGATTTTATAAAGGCTATTGACCTTTACGGAAAGTTGTGAAAACCGTTAAAAAAAATTACATGCTATTTAAAATTTTTTTGAAAATCAAGAATGTATTTACCTCAAATTTTTTGCAGTTTAATATTTTAGTAGAGGTGTTTGCCAAAATCGGGCTGTGCCGTGAACTGTTGCGGATAGAACCAACTTTTTTTCGCGCACTCTTATGACCTTATGCAATTGCGAGCGCTGTAAAACTCTTACTAAAACAACAAAAAAAACAACATATTTACAGGGGTGTAAATCCCACCCAGTACCATATGATTTCCATTAGATATATACTGCAAATGTTTTTATATCCAAACCAACTCTAATCAAACATTTAGCACTTAAATACTGTTACCACAGTTAAATATTGTAGGCTACTCAGTAAAATACTCATCACACTGGAATCAAATTAATGTCTTTTGCATGCAAAAACCACCATAGTCACCCTAATTGGATCACGTAGGAGATGGAGATACTTTACAAAATACACTTCTCCTCATGGGAATTGAACTTGTGCCTTTCGCATGCAATGGTGAAGAGCCTTATTGTTGCACCTGAAGCCAGGTTTAAGTTTCATAGAAGCAGAACGATGACATATTGGTTGGCATGTATTTGTTGTCAGTTGTGTGCGTATTCTTTTCTTTAAGTTGATAGTGGTGCTTCGTTCAAACTGCATTCATTTGTTACCCTTACAGTGTTATGATGACGTGGATAATGACAGCGACAGTAGCAGCTCCTGAAGTGTGGCAGCAGCAAGACAACTGAGGGATTGCTGCTTCTCCTCCTGCTGCGGCTTCTTCCTGACCCGATACCGTCTCTAGCACTGTGTCAAAGTTTTGCCGGCTGCAGTGACCAGAAGAAGGGCTGGGTCTTGTGGCATAAAATTGGGGACAATGGGCTGTAATCATTCTGCATCTTGCCCATGCGAGTCCTTTATTTGGCCTTTCACTGACTTGTTGTTAGTAGTTCTCTCCTTCTGGATGGGTAGGGCTGCGGTAACCAGGTGAAGCTGAAACAGCTGAAGAACTGCTGGGACTGTTTACAAACACAATGCAGTTGAGTAAGTTATATTCCCTGTTTCCCCCATTCTTTTTGGTAGCTTCACAGCTGACACAAGGTACTTAATCCACATTGAACAGCTAGAACAGCAATCTGCATTTTGGTTTCCTGCTGCAGCAGGTTCTCACTCTTTGTGGGAGACAATTACTTTGAGTTAGGAGGAGGGTAGGGTTTTTTTTTCTTTCAGATACATATATGACAATTGATTAGTGTTTCGATTACCTCATTGCCTGTTCAAAGTACCATGGCGCTTTCAGTTGGTTTTTGCCATGTGTGATGTATAATACTTTTGTGAAAGTCTTGATGTTGTGTCAAATGAGGAACTGCAGGAGGCTCCATTCCTGTCGACATCAGGCCTCCTAAGTGTTTTGCATGTAGCCACACATTTCTGGTCACAAGAAATCAAGTCTAATGGCTTCATTCTGAATAGTCTTGTCTAGCAAATTCGGGAATAGGGGCAATTTACTACTGCAATGGTCAGGGTAGAGTTCACAGTTCGATGTGATCCCGCCTGGAGCGAATTAATAGGCCCTACCCACCCAGCGAGTGGTGTAAGTTTAAGTGGCGAGCTCAGCTGCGAATGCGATGTTTGGGGTAAACAAACGTGTCTGCCAGTTCACACCTTGGTGTAATCCCGTTGGGGGCAAAAATTGTACCATTTCATCGAGCTTTACAACTTTTATGTAATCACATTCACGAGAGTAGGTGATCTTTAATGCGACGGGCAGTTCAATGATCTAAACTTTTCACTCTTGGTTGATCGGCTGTGCCCACCCGTGTTTTTTCCCCCGTAAATTATGGTCTGAAATGGGTGATCTTAGCCAAACGTTGACCGTCAGAGTGAATCAGAAAGGGATCTTAGGGGCGACTTTTGTTTAGTACAAATTCTGTTTTTTTTAAACTGCGGGATCTTAAGCGATTGTAAGCGGTGGGATCTTAGGCAGAGACTACTGTATTAGGAAACTGCAAATTAAAATTTTTTTCCCCTTTGATCACCGTTTTTCAGGAAAATCGACATGGAAATGTGTTTTGAAAATTTGAAAACAATTGCCCATCGGTCAAAAAAATGCCCGTTTCCTTAATTTCAGTATTTTGACGAGCGCCTGATTTCACCCCGATGCCTCACATATTGTTTTTACAAACTCCTTTTAAGATAAATGTACCTGATGTAAGCTAAAATCTTTTAAAGTCTGCTTTTAAGCTGATAGGCTGAAATGTTATCAATGTGTTAGGCCTATCTATTTACCAACTTTTATAGTGTGCTCTGTTGTTTTGTTCAAAATGAGAAAGTTTAAAAAAAGACAACAGAATTTATGACAATGAGTCATAGTTGTATGTTTGATCTTATAAACAAATTTCTTGTTTTAGTGAAAGTTAAAATAGCAATGGGAGAAAAATGGGGCAGGTGACTATATGACTTTCAAGAAGTTTTATTATGCAGTTGCGAGCACCGTAAAACCTCTACTAAAACTAAACTAAGAGGTGAGGGTCTTTTTGGTACAGTTTTTTCAAAGTTTGAAAGTCTCTTGATCAAAGAAATCTCATACAAGTTGCCATTCCCTGAATGGTAGCTCTTTAATGTTTTGTTTTGTGGATTAACCAGAATTATGAATGTGTTGAAAACATTTGTCAAGCCTCAACTTATTATCCGTACCCGACTGTATTTTTGTTTTTCTCGGGATACAGATGAATGGGAGGGGGGATGCAATGGAATTTGACATTCTCTTTTATCGAGCACAACGAGACAATAGATTGTGCTCACAGAATATAGCTCAGGATTTAAAATTTGGCTCTGAAGGGTGGGGGGGATTTTTTTTCTATCATAATGATAGTTACAATCTGAAAGAGTCCTGTTGGATAAACTCTGCCTTTTTTTATTTGATATTATGAGACAATGGTATTATAATTATAGTCAACTCCACTTGTGGTTGCTTGAGTTGATCTTTGGTAAAGTTTTTTTAATGTTCTCGGGTCCCAGCATCTCTTCTTCTTTACATTTGTCAAAGTCCAAACAGTTGAGTTCTAGCACCATGAAGATTGAGTTGAAGTGCCTATTTTTACCCCTGGCTGCAAGTATGCTACGGCTAAATTGATTTTTTTTTTCAAAGTAAATTTTTAAAAACTTTTTTTTCGCATTGTCGGATGTTACAAAGCAGTTGTGACACAAGTGATGCTTAACATCAATACAATCGTGTTGAGCGATTACAATAGGCCTTCATAGTACTAGTACCTTACCTCGATGTACTGGTGAGGGGAGCACCAGTAGCGGACGTGTGTGGCATTACACCATGATGACAATGTCCGTTATCGCTTCGTCTCTCTTCAAGGCGGAAGAGTATACGGCACACTGCAAAACAAAGAGTAATACAGTGAAACCTCAGTTCAGCACTCTCGGCTAAAACATACTCGCTGCTGTAATGTGAACTTTGTTTATTTCTTTAAAAGCTATCTAAAACCTATCTTTGGAAAGCATACATTTTACTACAACATTCACATTTCATGGGAGTTAAGAGATCTAGACTTTGCTTACAATTACAATGCTCAATGGACACTTTGAGAGTAAAGAAAATTAAAAAAATAAAAAATCTCTCTCTCTCTCTCTCTCTCTCTCTCTCTCTCTCTCTGTCTGTCTGTCTCTCTCTCTCTGTCTCTCTCTGTCTCTCTCACTCACACTCACACGCACACATACACACACAGATGTGTGAGAGAGAGAGAGAAATCTGTCGGTCTTCTGGCTTTCATATTGTTCTCAGGTGGGGTCTCGTAACTGTAAACAGAGATCAGAAAGTGTGAGTGTTATGTGTCCATTTTTACATTCTGTTCTCTCATATATTTCTTTGAGTCTTTGGAAGTACTCTATCACACTGTGTGTGTCAGGTTGGTAGTTGAGGAGTAACTGAAGTGTCTTTAGTGAATTACTGGCGTTCATTGGTTGTTGTTTTTTTGTTTTTTGTAAAGTTTAACCTCAATTTCTACTATCTTCCTTTTGAATGAAATGTCTGGAATAGGTAGCTGCTTCCATTGTTTTTCAGTTATTTATGCTTTGTCGTAAGATAATACAATGTACCAGAGACAAATTAGTTGTCGGAACAATAAAAGAAAGTCAAGGCAGTTTTGTAGTAGTTGTAACCTTGGGAATAGAACTGAAGGCATTTAGAAAATACTCACAGTAGAAAAAGAAGCAGAGAAATGCTACACATCTTTTTGTTTTTGTGTGACAAGGAATTCATGAATGATTGGAAGCTAGGAGAAGTGCGGTGTTGGCCAGTCTCCCAGACTTGGCTCTGAGAAATAAAGCAGAGAATGATGAAGAAACTTGCTGGCAAGCCACTGTACAGTTTGAATCATAATGAACACTTTTATATAGCTTCATTAAGGTGTGTCAGATGAGCACAGATTTATTCAACGAAGTAGTCTCCGCCTAAGCGCACACCGTACAAAGGCACGCTCCGTTCAAACGCGCGCGTTCATGATATGACTTTTTTTTTTTTTTACTTTACAGTGTAGCCTGTCTGTGACGACCTTCAATATAACGACATCCTTTGCATAGCGACTTTGTGCCCAGGTCCCGATTTGTTCCTTTTACCATTAGTAATATTTTAGGTTGCCTCTCTTTAACGATAACTCTTTTTAAAGACATTTTTTTCTGGTCCGGACGATGTTGTTACAGAGAGGCTGCACTGTATGTAATTTAAATGTACAAACGCACGGTCACTTCCTCTAAACGCACACTTTGATCTGTGAAACGCGTCAACAGGTAAAACTTGACACAGGGAAATTTTTGCTACAATCTACACCGCTTGCATAAGACAAGCCTAGACAACCGTATATTTGGTGAGACTGTCCCTCATGCAGAGCAAAGAGAGTGATTGAGAGTGTTTTCACATCTAACGTGGACAGTGGGCACATAGGTCTAGGACTGGGCGAGTGACTGAAATGTCTTTTGATTGGTCACTCAAAATGCCTCCTTGAGAGAAGGTTCCTCAGTGGTGTTTTTTGGTGACTGTAGTATTTAGTTAGGCCTGTGATGCGCAAAACACGTGAATGCTGTAGAACACTATAGTGCTGTCAAAAATTCGTAGCACAACTTATCCTCAAATCGGTTGAATCATTGTCACCCATACTTTGCACAGCAGTTTGTATCAATTTGTCTTAACTTAATCATTTACTCGTTATTCCGCTCCGTACACTTTGCAGTCTGTCAAAATGATTTTTTGAGAAATGCTGAAAGTTTCAAAGAGATCTTCGTACTAGAAGTATTCTAAAACGTGAAGAGTACAACCCCGGCGGTACAAAATGACCCCAGGGCATACGGATAGTATTTAAAAACCATCATGTTTCGTCACATTATCAGCGATCTTGAAAGTAAGACACCCCCCACCCCCACCTCTCAGAAGCAGGTCTCTAAAATATCAAGGAAATGAGATGATTGCTTTCCTTCCTCCCTTTGCACAGGTTCATGTAAACACACGCTCCGTATAAACACACGCGTTTTGGCGGAGACTACTGTGCAGAAGGGGAAAAAAGTGATTTCCTCAAAATGGCAAAAGTTGTGAGGTTACATTGAGCTGAATGAGAAGGAAGGTGTTGTTACAATTTGAAAGAACTGCACACTCTAGTCTTGCAATACTTTAAGTGTTTCTCTTTTGATTAAAAAAGCATTGCACTTTACTATTTAGAGTTTTTCATGAGAAAACTATCAAGCTCAGCCAAATTTTAATGAATTTTCTGACCAGGGGAGTTAATATTAAGAAAAGAGGGCCTTGGGTCAGGATGGAAACGAAACAGCGTATCATTGGTGTTGCAAGCAATCCACTTAAGTCCGTTTGGGTACTTTTTACACCAGAGATGAAAAACTACTTTTTGTTGTGTTGTCCCTATCTGGAACCATGCATGAAGAACAAGAAAATTGTACGCCTTGACTTTGACCGTATCATTAAACTGAATTTTGGTGCTGTTGAAAGGTGCATCTTTGATGGAGCTTTGGGAGGGTGTAAGAATCATAAATTCTTAAAATTTGACTAAAAATTGTATTGCTTGTGACAGCGGCGATGTATGCCGTTTCTTTTACTCGTCTTTCTGTTGCTATTGTCAGCATTAATATCAAATTTTATGGGTGATAAAATGTAATGCTGCTGAGAATGTTTGTGATTCACCCTTCACTTCTTAATACAAAAGGTTTAAGGTTTCGACTGATGGAATGAACTAGTCGGTGATCTTTGTCATGTTCAGCTGTCTTAGGGTCCATCCTTTACTTAACGTTTAATAAAAATGCAAAGGATAGAATTACATTTTCTAAGACTAAGAGTGATCAACGGGTGCCTACATCGAATCTAAAGTTGATGTGAGATAGAACTGCTTTGTAGCCAAATAATGTTCATTGTAATGATGCTTTTAATTTTTGTTTTCCCTGTAAAACTGTCTATAGAAGAAGTTTAGCGTGGAAGTTTTGTACTTGTCCTGTCTTGCTTTCAATGCCTTGTCTCTGTTACTCTAACACTGAACCTGAAAGTTGACCCTTTAGATTCTTTTTTAGTGTAGTAATGAAAGTTTTGCTAGGGTTGTTTGTTTTTTTCAAAGGAAACACTGTTTTACGTCTGTCAGTTTTATGCTTCACTTTACTATACAGTTTAGCCTATACTCTGCTCAGCAAGATAAGTTTACCTCGTTGTCTGTTGTGTATTTTTTTTTAATGGTCTGACCAAGTCGCATTTCCCCCATGAGGAGGACCTTACACTTACTGATATGTTAGGGTGGTTCTAAACATATAAATAGATGGTTCTTAATAATAAATAATAATAGCATTTGTAGAGCGCAAATCCCAGCTCAACAGCAAACTCTATGCACTTCACAATCTATACTATTACCCCAGCAGACCTGAGGGCATTCTGAAACAACCTCATCTCCCTGAGAAGCATACAGTGCAAGCAACCATTTAAAGGGGCTAAAACACTAACTTATTGACAAGTTCTTTTGCTGTCTGTGGCCGGGTACCTATTCCCACCTGGGTGAAGTGAGGAAAATTCGTGTAAAGTGTTTTTCCCAAGGTCGCAACGTCGGGCCCCCTGAACCGGCAACCTCACGATTACGAGTCCGGTAGCCAAACCACTAGGCCACCGACGCCACCTCAAGGATTTCAATCGCGTCATGGGAGCATAAAACTTTTTACACCAGAGACAATAAGATAAACTGAAGCCACCCTTAGACAAGCGAAACTTGAAGACAGATGTGTGGTGTGAACTACAAATCTATACTTTCTTTTCTTTCCTGTTCTTTTCTTTTTCTATGAATGAGTGTTCACAGTTTTTGTTATTAACTTAATTAAGAAAAGTTCAGAGTTTTCCTTTGAGCAGTGCTCAAATTTCCAAGGTTCATAGCTGCTTTGTATTCTTTCCCGTTTGATATATTATAATGGAAATGTGATTCATTGTAATCCCTCGATGAATATGATCGTTAGTCAGTCAATGAAAGCTAGATGCTGTGGTTCTCACTTACCCCTGAGTAGGCCTGTGTTTGATGAGGGTTGGTTTGATGCACTGTGTCTTATTCTATTCATGAGATGTTGATTTCTGCACTGTGATTTAGTTGTGTCCATTTAGACAATGCTCATCGCTGGCGATGACAGGAGATAGTGTGCATGCTTTACCAGTTTGGTATGTTGCGTAAAGAAATGTTTAAACTTAGATTTTATTATATCATCTATTTTGTTTTGGTATAAATGGAGAGCTTTGCTATAGATGAGAGTTCATAGCAGCAGTATGTATGTCATGTTGTGGATTCTGATTTATTTTATGTGCAAGTATTTTAAATGTACGATACAGTGGGACTTTGCTTACAATCCTACTGGCACTGAGTGCAGATCTTTGTATGCTTTTCATCAGAAAGTTATCTCTACCCTTACAGTCCTTGCATATGTCCCTCAAGGCAATGATATTTACTGGCGTGTTTTTAATGGAACTTTGCAAAACCTATTATACTGTTTGGGTCATATTTGAAAATAACACCTGGTGATGTCAGTGTTCTTTTGTACATAAAATTTTGTTAATATAATGGCAATTGATTGACAAAAGTTGGTCCACTTCTCTCTTTGTCTTTGCACTACAATCAGGTTGTATCATCCTAACATCGTAAATGTACAGCATGCCAGCCAGTACCGGTAGTGTGTTTGTTTTATTTTTGTTTTTAAAAAAAAAGCTAATGTGTTATTACACCACCCCTATCAACACAGTTTATAAATCATTCAGGAGGCAGGCTTCCGACCGAGCCTGTCAGGGTCACCTCAGGTCAAGGCCAAGAGGGATACAACACCCCATTAGAGGGAGCATACTCCATGAAAATGTATGGCCACTCAGGAATAGGCCTACCATTCACCCCTTGTGATGTCAGTTGCAGTACACCAGTCACATCTCTATGTTGTACACTGCACACCTGCCAGAAAGTATAAATGTTTAAAATTTTATACTTTTTGTGTAGGCCTACATCACTGAATATGAAAAACACAATTTTCAGTCAGAGACAGCTCACATTATAAACCAAATTTGCTACACAAACCAAACTTCTTCAGTTAGAGCCGCTGGTGTATGCC